TTACAGAATAGTTTGCTCTGTTATAATTCACTTACCTTTTAATATGTTTTGGTGAGATTAAAACCCACTATTATAAAAACACGACTGAACGTTTTGAATGAGATGGTGTAATGAAGCCGTGGTGGGATGAATTTTGATGTGGTGCCCCGCCACAGAAGAATGAATGTAGTGGAAACCTTGAACATTGCTGAAGCACTTTTTACAAAATGACAGCAATAATGACAGACAGTCAATTTTATATTCATAATTAGTATAATAGCTTTTAATAATTTAAAAGGGTTTATGATTATTCTTAGTGAAATTTCTGGCATGAAACTCGACGATGTGCGCGCAGGCTGATAGGTTACCTAATCTGCTGTTTTTTGTAATTTGCTGTCATCTCAGCAACCAATAAGCTTGCTCCTCATCAGTTTAAAAGTTCTGTGTCCACTACGCTGTTTAAGCTGCGGCACATTTTTGAAGACCCTCTTCCACCCCAGCTCCACCTGTCTTTAGATCTGTTATAGGGGTTACATGTTTATTATGTTTGCTGCAGTAGTGTGTTGTATTCTCCGACAGCATGTCTGTGTATATACTGGCAGTAGCAGGTCTATGTACTTGCTCTGCCATAATAATCAAAGCTGCAGCGAATACAGGTTTTCTTGAAATATAAACCTGTATTTTTTATTTTTTTTTTAAAAAAACATACATTTTACAGTCTCATACATCATTTTGTGTTTTCTGTTATCCTATTAAAACTGCACTCTAAAGATAACTTTGGCTGCTTGATCCAACTACTTATTTAAATATAATTGAAACAACACAATTCTTAGTTTTTTTTGGGAGGCAACTTATTTTTTTATGTTCAATCCACTTAAATTGGTAAAAACAACTAAGTTAACATAATCGATTTGTGTTGTGACAGCATGAAGGAATTGTGTGGAACTCAGCTTCTTTTTATAGTGTGAAATTTCCATGATGTAATTTCTTCCATAAATAAAATTCCATAATGCCATAACAACATGCATTTAACCTAATTTTACATCATGCATCATTTTCAAAATGTTTACATCATGGCAGGTAAATGTTACAATGTGTTTATCTTTATGTTTTGCTGCAGTCGTTTATCATTAACAAAGACATTGTAAGAAGAAAGTTTTAATTTATGGAATAATAGAATATTAATTACAATGTGTTTTTATTTCATTCGCATTCTCCTACTTAATTGACTTCATTTTGATCAATTTCAAGCCCTTGTTATCTCATTGAAAGTGTGCTCTATTAACGCAGAGGTTGTAAGGCTAGGTCTGGAGTCTGCATGATGTACAGTGATTACTGTCCTGTTCAATCACTCTTGTACTCTCCAGCAGCCTCTTCACCCAGACCGCCGCTGGCAAACTGCCACTGCAATTAGTCTATTGTCACTTTACATAAAAACCTTAATGGTGAGCAGTAGCTGTGGATGTATCTCTCAAACTGACATCTGGGCAGGCAGCCTATTCACAAATCAGATAAGAAAGCCCATCATAGCCTATGATTTAGTCAATCATGATGAACTTGACTTGAGTTTGTCGCTGAATTGTACTTGTGTGTGTGTGTGTGTGTGTTTCAGCATAAATGAGTATATTCCCTTTTTACTGAGTATATTCCCATTACTTTTATCCATTGGTCAGTGAATGTAGCCAATAGTGTTGCCAAAAATATTGATAAATATCAATACTGGTATATTTAAGTTATACAGTCTTGAGTTTGGTTAGTATAAATACCAGTTTTACACAGAAATCACACAGAATCATCTCTCTTCGCACCAGAATAATTAATAGTAAAATAACGATTTTAGCACTTTTGTTTTAATCAGAAAACAAAATTGCACTTTTTTTTTTTCTTTTAGCAATTTATTACCTTTTGGACTTCTGGCTGACAAGAACCAGACAGGACTGCTGACGTACCTGGTATAAGCATTATATGGTTTAGTTCAATGGTCTCAAACTCAATTCCTGGAGGGCTGCAGCTCTGCAAAGTATCCAAGCTCCAACCACCTCCAACTCACACCTGCTTAATAGTCTCTAGTAGTCTTGAACACCTTGATTAGTTGGATCAGCTGTGTTTGATTAGGATTGAAGTAAAACTGTGCAGAGCTGCGGCCCTCCAGGAATCGAGTTTGAGACCTATGCTTTAGTTATTGTTTCCCTTTTTACTTCATTTGCATACTTTTAATGTTGCAGAATTGGCTCCCAGTATCAAAAGTGACTGTATCAAAAATAGTATCGTAACGAAGTTGGAAATACCTGTATCGGGACAACACAGCAGCCAAAAATGTTTGATGCAATTAAACAACAAAATATTTTACTTGATTTTTGGGCTGTGATCTTAAGTTTTTTGTTAGATTATTTCCATTTTTGGCAAAAATATAATATTGTAAAGCATACTATATTCATTTAAAAGAGAGATCTGTGGGGACTTATTTATACTTATTTATACTGAGCACTCTATGTGCCCTATGTCTTGAAGCTAACAAATGCTGCTTTACTTAAAAGCGTACATGTTAGACAGTTTTAATAACATTTTCCAGAGGTTATTTGTGAACCATTTTTTAAACCTTTCAATTGAAAGAGTAATAATAGGTTTTTCATTATAATTTTCAGCTGCTCTCTCTCTTTCTGCCCTTTACTGTTGTAAATACAGAGGAGAACAGGTTTTTTTCTGTTTAAATTGTGATGTAGCCTACTGAGAACACCTATTAATACTTCTTTCATTTATCCACTTAGTCCCTTTATTCATCAGGGGTCGCCACAGCGGAATGAACTGCCAACTTATATAGCATATCTTTCACACAGTGGATGACCTTCCAGCTGCAACCCAGTCTGGGAAACATCCGTACACACTCATTCACACACACGCTACAGCCAATTTAGTTTATTCAGTTCACTTATAGCAGCGATTCCCAAGGGGGTCTCAGACCACAAGGGGGCCTCAGCGAGCTCTGAGGAGGGTTGTGTCATATTTGACTTTTTTTTTTTTTTGCAGCGGACATTAGGGTATATGCGGAAGGACTTTTAATTCAATAACAGCATGCTATTACAAAATTGACGCGTTTAAGGTCAGTTATCTTTAAAAATCTACGATCTCCACTTAGTGAGTGATATCCGATATATAGTGGGTCTCAGATTGTACAAAAAGCACTGCATTAAATTACATTTTCTCCCGCCATGTCTTTTAAAATATGAACATTTATTTGACCCCAGAATATTCAATGGAGCTTCTGCACTAGCCTGCCGATTCTTGACAGGCGCGTGCGAGTAAAAGGATTTTTATTTTCACTTTATACTTGAAAACCTAAATGAATGCTAAAGTCTATTTAACTGATTGTATTTTAATTACATTACAACATCAATGCTGTAAAAAGAACCGTATAAAATGGTAAAAAAAAAAACGTTAACCATTCATTGGAAGTTTATCAGTATGGGAAGAAGCACTAGCTCTGCATATACTCTATTAGGAGAATGATCATTTTGCCTTAGTTAAATTATCCCATTTGACCAAAAAATTGACAAATTTGTAATTCATGCTCTACAAAAAAGATCGAGTCTCGCCTTCAACAAGCCTTCTCACCTTAATTTTTTTATTATATTATTCTACTTGGTCTGTATAGTCATGCAATCATTTGTTTGTAGAGCAAGCAGTTTGACCATTTTCTGCCGTTTATTATTGCTAGTCATTTCTCCCATAGGCGACTGAATCGGAAGTTCTAAGACAATCGCGATAACAGGCGCACTTCCGCATTTTAGAATAAGGTCAATAGGTGAGGAAGCTCCAAACATTTCGGGTTGCAACGCTAGCTATACTGGAAACCCGAAATGCAGGAAATAAAGTTCTTGCTAATGAATGCATGAGATCAATTGAATAATCCATTTGCAGACGACTCATGCCCAATACCATGACAAGTACAGAGCATTTTTGAGCGCAAGGCAAAAGAATTGATGTCCCTCAAAATGAGACGAGGGACGTCACAGCTACTGACAAGAAACTTAAAAAAAAAAAAAAAGGCAACTAATATAGGGCCAATTTAAAGGCCAAAGGCTTACGCTTTTCAGTTACAAATGGCCTACTGATGTTTTGCATGTTAGGCTATTATTTATGCATAAACATATCTAGATATGGTAATAAACATACAGTTTATTTGAAATTGAAATTGTCATGCTTACTGCAAACTTATATAAGCGATTAATATCAATAATTGTTGGGGGGCCTTACAATATTTTCCAGGGGAAAGGGGGTCTCAGGCAAAAGAGGTTGGGAACCACGGACCTATAGCACATGTCTTTGGACTGGGGGAAACCTGAGCACATGGAGGAAACCCAGGGAGAACATGCAAATGCCAACTGGCACAGCCAGGGCTCGAACCAGCGACCTTTTAGCTGTGAGGTGACAGTGCTAACCACTGTGCCACCGTGTCGCCAAATTAATGCTTCATATTACAGATAAAAACATGTAAAGATCAATAACAATTATTTTTGACTTCAGGTAATAAGCTGTGAATTTTGCTGAAATGTAATGATGTACACGTTTTGTGAAGCTGCTTTAGAACAAAAATTATTGTGACAAGTACTATTCTTTAAAATAAACCTGAATTTATTGAATTGAATGATTGTAGGCATTAATTATTAAATAAAGTTTGTAGCATTATTTCCCATTTTTCTGTTTTCAAATTTTCTGTTTGTTTTGCCTGTCTGTTTTATTATGCTCTTAAGTTATTGAAAGAAAAATCTTTAAGGAATAATAGAATATCAATTCTGGTGAGGAACTCTCAGTGTAGGATTTCATCACAATATTTATTTAACTTAAATGACTCATTTTTACCAGCTTAAAATTATGTATGTATGTATGTATGTATGTATGTATGTATGTATTTGTAAGATCAAGAAAAAATCTATTTGACTTCATGTCATAAGCCATGACTCCTTATACTGCAAGTATTACACTGACTAACCTCTGTTTTCATATGGATGTTGTGTTTCCAGGCATTCACCAGGTGAAAAGGTTAACAATGCACTCACAGACAGAGTCTCAAGGCTCTGCCACGGTTGCCAAAGGATGAATGTGTTCGAGTGAAGGAGAGACAGATGACCTTTGTGTGGATATGAAGATGAACTGAAGCAATCCTTCATTCTGACTGCATTGATAAAGCATAATTATGGTTGTTTGGTGGCCGGTTGGATTGGCTGAGTGTCCTTGAGCATCCTTTGAGCATTTTTTTTAAATGGTCATGGCGAAGAAAACCGAGTCCCTTAATCTTTCCTTCCTCCTGGAGCATGAAAGGCAGATGATCCTCAATGTCCTCCAGAAAGACGAAAAGCTCCGCAAACGAGAGGAGAAACGCATCAGGTAGTGCCTTTTGCTTCTCTGTTTTCTTCAAATAAATAAAAAAATAAATAAAAATGTAATACAATTTTTACATTAGAATGTATGGATGTTTTTATTTTATTAGATTTTTTGCCAAAAATGATTGTTGTCATACATTTTGAGCGTGATTTGCAGAAGGCACATGTGAAGTAGATGTTTGTATTGCAAAATATCTTTACAGTCATATTTAGAAGAAGATTCATTTTAATATGACATATTCATACGTTCGTACGCAGCGGATGCCCATCCAGCTGCAACCAATCACAGGGAATTTATGATTTATTAAAAGACAACATTTAATGATCAAAGTTCAGCTCCAAATTACTGATTCATTGTATTTTTTGTAATTCTTTATACTTCGTCAGATTTCTTCAAACCACTCTGCTTTACCCATTTGTCATCAACAAGTTTTGAATCACATAAAATATATATATTAAAATCTGCTGTAACCACTTAATGTTTTACATATTTTGACTTTTTTTTTATCTAAATAAATCAGTGTCATTTTCACGTAAGTTATTTGATACATTAAAGTAGACAGTTTTATTTTGCATGCTTTATATACAGTATGTGTGCGTATGCTTATGTATAAATCTGACAAACACACATAAACATTCAAAATACAATGAAACTAAAATTAAAAAATGTATAATTTCTTTTAAGTTGGGTCAAACTCTTACTGATGAAGTGTTTTTGAAAATAATGTCAATCAGAGTTTTTGTTCAGTTGCAATTGTGCATGTGTAAAATATTTTTATTTTAAATCTGAAAATTTAGAGTTGTACAACAACATACAAACTAAGAAACTTAAAATTTTAGGTACTGATTATGTTTTTTATTTTTTGGCGAAAGGTTTTAGTTTGAATTTCATTTTGCATACCCTTTATTTCCATGCTGAGAGTGATAATAGTTAAAGGTCTTTGGAATTTTTTAGATCTTAAACAGTTTTATTAAGAGCTATCTAGTTTATTCAAGTATATCATGCACTCAGTGAACAAAACAAAGAGTTTTTAAGCCACTTTTAAATTAGTTAAAATGGCTTTTTGCTTATTATTTTGATTACTGTATATACTTGTCAGTCTATGAGCGTAGTGCTGAGAGAGCTTTGCCCACAGTCTTGTGATTGCCTGATATTTAAATGATTTTGTCTCATAATGGTTAGTTTACCCAAAATAATATTTTTACTCAATTTTATTGAGATTAAGGTGATTTTCTGATTTCTGTTGAACAATAAAGAAGACATTTTGCCATCTTTGGTGTCTTTTTCAAAAGGAGACAGAAACTCAGACAGGTTGAGGATGATTTTTATTCAGGTGAACTATCCCTTCAACACTCATCTAGTTAATGAATGTGACATAAAATAGCACTTCCTTCGGAGCAGTTAAAGCAGATCTGCTCTGGTTCATTTGTATAGGGTTGCTACATTTAGTGACTCTCCAGCAGTGATTGCGGTTGTGCCTCTACAGAAAGTTGAAAAATGAACTTCTGGAGCTGAAGCGAGCCGGGCGGCGTAGTTCGGCAGATCAGCGTGAGTGTGCCATATGCCTGCGGGCACTGGGGCTTATCCTGCAGAGGGGTAATGTGTGCTCCAACTGTCAGAGGCGCATCTGCAACTTCTGTACCGCTACGCCTACAGGCAGCAGCTGCAAATGCACAGTGTGCGCAAAGACTGCGTGAGTCAAAGCAAACATACATATACACTCTGATGATCTGTAATGCTAGAAAACTGCACATTTTAATAGGATATGTGTCAACACAGTTCATAGGATCTTTAATAGGTGAAGCAATTACGCTGGGATTGTCACTTATAATTGGGGCTTCTGCCGTGTCTTAGGGAGCTGAAGGTGGTTACAGGAGAGTGGTTTCTGGAGGAGAGATCCAAGCGGTTTCAATCTGCCACTGTGCCCAGCTGTGATGTAGTCAAACAGTCCATCCTCAGCAGTCCTCCAGGTGAGTTTGTGTCAACACATTCTGTCAGCCCATGCCTGTAAATATTGCTGTATGTTTCGCATGCCTGACATTTTTTCCTCCAGGCTCTTTTTATTGATTTAAATATTGCAACTGGTACATGTTTCAGTATATACTAAAGAAATGTCATTGCACCGTACAAGTGAGAATTAAAAAAGTATGTTTCTGATTATGTGTTAGTTAACAATAATGCTAGTGTCAAATAAGCAAGTCTAATGACTTAAAATCATCAAACATTGTTGAAATGAAAACATAAGAGTTTTTCAGATTTTTGTCACATAAATTTGTAAAATAAAATTTTTTTTTACATCATGGAAATCATAGTTTCTAAATATACATTTTGTTTGCCTGAAAAATTTGTTGCCAAAGTGCTTCACTACATTACTCAGTTTTGGGTTGAATAAATACTTTAAAGTCAGCATGAAACAGAGTTTTTTTTCCAATAATGTGAGATGCATCCAATTAAAATTGTTCTGAAATAAGAAAAGATGCATTGGGGGTGCATGGTTTGTCCTTTGGGAACCAATTGGATTGTTGGAAGATGGGCATTGCTAACAAAATGGAGGAATATTGATGAAAGGATTAAAGCAGGACAGAAACAAAACCATGGACAGATAGTCCTGCGCTAAAGGCATTCCACATGACCAGAAGTGAAAAAAAGTCATTTAGAGGGAGAGGACAGGTTATGGTATTTGATTATAAGGGCAAATTATTTTTTTACAATATAGTGAAGTGGACAGATAGTTTGTTTGTAACAAGCCCTACTATAACTTGAGTTAGACTATTTTACTTCATTTTTTATCTTTTCAGTATTTTTTTCTTGGACTCAAGCAGCACATTTGTCCTGGACTTCGAGTTTATACAGTGCTCAGCATAATTGAGTACACACCATTTTGAAAATGAATTTTTTACTGTTATGGCAAGTTATTTTGTTAGATGAGCTCCAGATTTGGCTTCAGTACTGACTAATCTAATGTATGTGCACAAATCTAATATTGTATAGCTTTCTAATAAAAATATGTATTTAAAAGAGAGATTTGTGAGGAGTGTACTTGTATATGCTGAGCACTGTATGTATAAAATCTAAAAATAATATAGTATACATTTTATATAGTATACAGTTTTTATATACATATAACAATAAGAAGAGTACATTTTGATTTCATGTCGACTTTAATTTCTACTTTGGTAAATAAATACTTTAAGTCATTGCCATCGATTAATAGATTTGTTTTATTCCAACATGATCAAAAGACTGTTTCACTTAAACTGCAATAGTTTGTTTCTTACTGTAAATATCTGTTTTTATTAATGGAGATGGAGGCTCTGCTAACAGACCATTAGAGATGGAGAGATCGTCCACGCCAAAGTCTGAAAGATCGGTTACGCCTCAATCCCAGAAAAGCACAGGGAAGAACAGAAAAGGGTGAGGGGCATGATTTACAGTCTCTTGAACATACATTAGCTTGGCCTGTAGTGTGATTGTGATTTTTTGTATGCGTGGAATATCAAGATGACATTTGAAAGAAAGTCCCATAATTAACCATTTACAATGTGACGTATATCAGGACAAACATAATCTGTGATTTAGCACATCAATTAAACATGCATTTTAATGAGGCCCACATGGCAACGATGAAGCATCCTGCCTTTTAACACTATAACATGATTGCAATCTGTAGTTTCACATCATATTTTGTTGTTGTTGATTAGTAGGCAGTATATTTTTAAATTCAGCAGGCTAGTGTTTCATTCTGTGCCAGCCTGTGTCCTCTCATTAAGGCCGCCTGTGATTCGCTCTCCTTAAGCATCTGTGTTTTAGGAAGAGAGCGGTTGCAGTGGAACCATCAGGTTTACCAACTGTACCCAATAATATGAGAGCACAAATGGCTAAAACGCCAACCCAGACAGAGGCAAGAAACAGGGTAATGCACAACTGCATTCCTACATATACATTTGCGTGGATGAGAAGATAGCGTCGTTTAACCTCTCTCTCACTCTCTCTTTCTGTGTGTGTGTGTGTTTGTTCAGCCTGATGGGGCAGAGAGCGTGTCTAGTATACAGAGCAGTGACAGCGTCCCTGAAAAGATGGCGGATGGGCGGAGACAAACAGATTCCAGCACACCCTCCATCGCCGTATCCAGAGCCTCCCTCTCATCAGGTATCGCCATGGCAACAGCTGGACATATATGTATTTATATATTGCTACCATATATATAGTACTGTGCAAAAGTCTAAGGCTACTAGTATTTTCACAAAAAAGTCATTTCAATTTACTTTAAAAGATGCATCTTTTACCTTGCGGGTGCAAAAAACATGGTATTAATTGGTATGTTTTCATCTGTAGCTGTAAATGTAATCCATTTAAAAAATGTAATATTGCATAAATAATTTCTGAATGAAGCACCCTTTACATCATGTGCTGAAAAGACCGACTTTCTGACATCCTTGGAAACTGGTGTTTATTATTAATAAAATTAGAAGTTGCTGCATCTGAGGAACCTCACTGTACTCCAGCTTTCTTTTCTTACATGATAAATGAGTTGCGCCTCAGAGCGTGCAAACGTCACATGTAATAACAAAAGCTGTCACGTAATCTTGCGATGAGGCGGATGCTCGTTGTTTAGGAACATAATCATGTAAGACAGTTCTGGGAGGTCATTTAACCAAATTATTTTGATGACAGAGTTTGGGTCAAGCAGTTCAGAATGACTAAAACAATACTTGAGATGCTCTGCAATGAGATCGTTTCTCTGGTTAGTCCAGGCAGAATTCTAAATGTCACAGTGCATTAATTAATGTTAACAAGCACAGCGTTGGATTCTAATAATGCATTAGTAAATTCTGAACTATGATTAATAAATGCTGTGCAATCATTGTTTATTGTTTGTTCATGTTAGTAAATTCATTAGCTATCATTATGTGTCTCCATTTGTGATTGTTATAGAAAAAATTGGTAGGAATGCTCCGATCAGGATTTTTGCAGCCAATTCCGAGTACCATTTCCTTATCATGGTGATTGGTCGATACCAAGTACTAATTCTGATGCTTCAAGTTTTATAATACAAAAAGCACATTTTCCCTCTAAGTATGTTGCTTAAGTGGAGATGTCTCCTTACCTAAGCATATAATATCTTTAATATGTCTCTTATAACCATTGTGTGGACATGTAATGGTCAGAAGCAGCTTTAAAGAAAATAATAGATAAAACAGATACAAAAAATGGAAAGATAAATCACTAACACATTTGGAAAATTGCAAATGATGGAAGAAGAATTCAACATGGCTCAATGAAGTTTGGAGTGCATATTTGATCCATATGAAGTTAAAATGCACACCTATACATACATTACTAAAAAGAAATAGGTCCAAATACTACTGTTTATTGCAATAAGTATATTACGATAAGTTTTATTATTAAATATTCAGGTAAATTTTTTAGCTTTTTTTATTTTGCTAATATTTCAGCCAGGTTTTAATGAACTCGCAGTATTGTTAAAAACACAGAACGTTTGGTTCTGATATGTAAAAAGATTTCAGTTCTTATGTGTCCTCTGCTTGTAAACTCATAAGCAAACAATTGTGATTGGTTCATAAGATCAGCCAGATTAGTGAGTACAGATCGAGTAATGAAATGGGATTATCGGCCGATTACTGATCTGTGGCCAGTCGATCAGAGCATCCCTAAAAATGGGTAAAAAAGCCATTTTATTTTTGTTTTGTAAGAATTACGAAATATCTCCTTCCACAGATCGCAGTCGCTCAGAGGTGGACCTTAGTAATCCTGGTGAGGGATTGAGTGAAGATCCTCTGATCAGCCGGTGTCGCTCAGTTCCTGGACTCAACGATGGGGTAGATTTCAGCCGCAGGCTCTTAAATCACTTCACACTTGCAATCGTGTTCACAGTTTTTTTCCTCCGGTGTACAGGATATGGCTTCCGAACAGGGAGTTAAAATGATAAGAGACAGCCTGCTATAATGTGATTTTTCTGATATCATATTGCTGAGTGAAGTGATTGCACGCATAAAGGAAAGAAGTGCTGCTTTCAATGTAATATTGGCTGAAGGCAGTGTTTGTGCTCTAGGACTCGGATGAGGACATTGATGCGGTGTTATCAGCACACTACAAAACCAACCGGAGCGTCTGCAGTGCACAATCAATGGTATAATGATACACACACACACACACACACACACACAATACAATTACAGGTGCTTTGTTGCAATGTGTGCTTGCTGGCTGTGCAGATGTCTGAATTGAACGCAATATCTATGCTTTTTGTGCTTTGAATATTTAGATACTTATTTGAGTGGCTTTTGGCAGGAGAGAAAGAAATTTATTTTTACAAGTATTAAAATACATCAGTGCTATTTATTGTTGTTGAGACGTTTGTCTTAAAAGATTTAGTTAAATCATATTTTTATATATATTTTATATTTTATATATATATATATATAATAATTTATTTTAATTGAAGTTTTAATAAACGTTTTGTGTATTATTATTATTATTAGTAGTGAATTTATTTCTAATACTAATAATATTATTTATTAATAATATTATTTAATATTATTAGTGGATTTATTCATTTTAACATTGGTCTATATCATGGACTGTAAAAGATATGGTCATAGTATCTGTGACATCACCCATAGTTTTCTGAAGAGCTTAAATGAAGGTACAAGTTGGTGTGGCCAACCATCGCCATTTGGTTTGTGTGTCATCGCACCAACCAGAGGTTACCAAAAAAGGGCAAAGAGGTGAAGCATGAGCGGAGCTACAAATGCCTGCTAGGATTTTGCTTAGACAGGCTTTTTTTGGAAGAAACATCTACTACTTCATTATCTGTGGTTCTTTGTGTTCTGACCACATGTGCTTGTTTGTACACTATATCTACATTATATATTCATAATATATTTTAGTTTCCCTAAGGTTGAGTCTATATCAATAATGTGTTTAGTCTTTTAAAAACACTGTTGTAATACATTGAGCCACTAAACATTGTTCCTATGATGTTTTTCTACAGCAGGAAAACACAAATTAACTGTTTAAAGCCTAAAAAACAAAACAAAAATATGATGTATATGCCAAAATTAGTGGCTAATCAGCCAGAATTAGCTGAGGTGAAGTGACGGTGACCAGCGAGACTTAGCTGTCACTCAAGTGGCCACGCCCTTAATTATGCAGACTTATTATTACTTAATATAATATTAACAAAAATTTGTTTTAAAAAAATCACCCCTTACAGTTGTCATGATGCATAATATTAGATATATACACCAAAATCATTTTTTGTACCCAGCTGTAAACACCTATTTTTCTGCTGCAAAGTTGGCCATTTTAACATTGGGTTCAATAGAAATGTGCTCTAGTGTGGAGCCAGGACTAGTGGAATTTCAATGAATTGCATTTTCAGTTACTTCTATATTAGCTTCACGAAGGAGAGCAGGATGTTGCCGCTTGTTAGATGCCAGTGTTGCAGTTAGATAATGTTACTATATAGCTTTTGCATTATTTTAATGTTAATACTAATTATTACTTTTTAAAAATACAACAGTTTAAGCTAATTGAAAATGAAGAGTTCAGATGCAAAAACCTCTAAATGCCATCTGGAATTTTCTTCTACAATGAGCATTTTCCTCAGCCTCTTATATTGAGTAATTTTATGTTAAAGGCAATGAAAATAATGTATTATTTGCCATAAATTCAAAATGACTCTAGACATAAGAGCATGAAAGAAATACTAATTTTAAAAGAAAATTTCAGATGGCACTTAGCAGTTTTTGCATCTAAACTCTTCAAATACTAAATATATTTAACAAATATAAAAACAAAAACAGAAATAAGTTAGATTTTTATATATTTTGTTTAATTTAACACATATTTCGAATAACAAAAAAAGTTTTTTATATTAGTTTAGCTTTAGTTTTAGTTCACTTTCATAAAAATTGTTCCATTTGAATCAAATTATACTTTTCTATTGATCTCAACTTACATCAATCAAACTGACTAAAAATATTAAGTTAAATTTTGTATAACTTAAAATAATTGAGTTAAAACCTGATTAACTTATTAAAATAAGTAAAAGCAACATAAAAATATTTGTTGTCTTGACTTTTTGTCATTACATTTTTACAGTGCACTATACACTCTACTTATTTCAGCTTTTCTACCTTCTGTTTATTATCATATCCTCCTCCAGGCAAAATATCCAGTTACATGTGATCACTTAATTTGTTGACTCACCTGGCAGACCCACACGTCCATTTTTTATCGCATAATCTCATATAAACACAATTTAGCATAGATAACTACTGAAAGTGCATCATTGTCCTGTTTCCTGGTTCTTGGCCACACACACAGATGCAGGTGGTACATTAAGACGCAACAAAGGAGGCATAATTTAGGCAAACAAGAAGACAAGTGGCCTCTTTAAAAACAGCTGGCATGACTCGTAGCTCACACACAGCCTCTAACAGCTACATGAGTCAGATGTGTGGAGCACTCAATGAAGAGGGGACAGGCTTTCACTCACAGCCAGTCACCCAGTCGTATTTCCAAAGAATAAGTTTGTGTCATGTTGCCACATGTCCTCTCAAATGTACATGATGGACTTCTGTGGAACACAAAACAATGTTTTGAAGAACGTTCTTGCTGCTTTTTGACAAGCAGTGAAAGGGAATGGGAACTGGGGTGATCAGAATCCAAATAATGGCAGAAATCAAATTCATTTTACCATACAGTGATCCATGCATCTTCTGTGTTATATACTGTAAAACCCAAAACATTAAGGTAACTCAAACTATTTGAGGAAACCGATTGCCACAAACCATTTAAGTTCAAAAACTAATCTTAATGAGTACTGTGAACTTACTCCGTTTAAGTGAATGAGGCAATTTAAGCACAGGAAAACCCAATAAATGAAGAGAACTCAAACCAACAGAGTACTGTAAAACCCAATAACTTAAGGTAACTCAAACCGTTTGCTACAAACCATTTGAGTGAAAAAAAAAGCTAATCTATATGAATACAATCAACTTACTCCATTTAAATAATGAGGTATTAAATTAACTCATTACACACTGAGTTCAAAACTCTTTTTACAGGAGTAGAGTTAACTTTCAGTAGATTTTGAGTTAACTACACTGATTTCATTTGATAAAGTTGACTCTTGGGCTTTACAGTGTACCTAATAGTATACATTCCAAGAATGACCTATAGACACAGTTTCTACCTGGTGTTAACATTCATTTTTAGTGAACCAATCACAAGTTTACAGTAAGGCAAGGCAAGTTTATTTATAACACTTTTCATGCACAGTGACAATTTAAAGTGCTTTATATATAAACAAGAATAAAAGAGACAAGTATAAGAAAGTAAAAACAAATAATAACATTGATTTAAAAATATATATTATTTAGAAAGTGTATGTAGAAAAACAATCCAGCTGAATGCATTTTTACCTTAGAAACGATATTATTATATCATATTTTAGATTCCATTCTAAAATAGCATTGCATAACTAGAAAAAAGCACTGTGAACATTCTACTAAACATCTCCAATTATTGTAAGTAAAATGATTGTGTTTGAAATGTTGTGAGGGTGTGCGTATATTCTGTACCAGTGTTAATTATTGGGTGAACTGTCACTTCAGAGATCCTCAAATAATCAAATGTGAAAGATTTGCTCCTCGCCTCCTGCAGTCTCTCTTTTGTCATGCTGTCTGTTTTTTTTACTCGTCTTCTCTGCTCTGTGTTTTTCTCCTGTTTGCCTTCATGCTGCCACTTTTCTGTCTTCCTTCAGTCTTCCACTCCTGCCTCGGAGAGAAAGTGGGGTTTCCTTAATGTACCAGATTCAGATGCTGACACTGTGAGTGTTCAGGCTGTTTTTCTGTCTGTCGGTCCGTCTGTCTGTCTGTTTGTCAGTCTGTCTGTTTGTCAGTCTGTCTGTTTGTCTGTCTGTCTGTCTGCCTGATTTTCTGTCTTTCTTTCTGTCAGCTTCAGTTTTTCTCTTTGGCTTTTCTGTACCACTGATACCAATGACTTCTGTGTAACACTGTACAGCTAATAATGGCAGCCTCTGTAAACGCACTATAAAAACCTGTTAATTCACTGTACTTGGGAAAAAAGTGAGTACACCTGTTGTAAATTGAGTTAAAGTTTTTTTTTATAATTAATCACATAGTATAGTATTTACTTAATTCGAAGGCAGCAGATATACTCACTCTTCTTTAAGTAAAATCAACTAATCACTATAAAAACAGGTTTACTCTTTTTGTTTTTAAGTAAAGTCAGTGAATTTTTCTCTTACAGTGTATGAGTAAAGAACGCTAAGAAAAAAAAGTCTTTATTTTTGTTAGTCTGTTAAAAATAATAAATAAAAAAACCTGAAGATGATAGAGTTGGTTTTGGATACAAGTAGAGGCCTTTTTTCCAGTTTGTAGTAGACAATTGTGTATTGAAGATTATGGCACTTTTTGACCCAACTAAAATCTCCAGATATGATTCTTGGAATTTTTTTTTTCATCCACTCAAACCATGGTACTAACAGTGAGACTGGACAAGATGGACAAGTGTCCTCTTCTAGGCTAATTCAGAACTCTTACAGTTGACTTAAATTATTCATTGGTACCCTGATAGTGGAAATGGCCATTTCAGTGTGTTTACCATATTCTAATAGACACCATTTTGTAAAGCTCAACAACCATTTGCCACAGCTTATAGCCCTAAAACAGGAGGCCATGTCTGAACCATTTCAACTTTCTTGTCACCCAGATGTACTAAACAAAATCTAAAATTCTTAAAATGCATTTTAAAAGTGGGTCAAGATAGGCCAAACTTACGTGGCCCACATATGCATTTTTAACATCTGGGCCAAATACTACATTTGATATCTGACCCAAGTCTTGAGTGTGAGACAGTGCCTAGTTTGGCCCACATGCTGTATGCCAGTCCCGGACGAATGCCTGCTGTGCCAGCTTTATGCCAAATTTGGGCCAACAAACATCAACAAACAAACCAAAAACAATTAATAAAACATTGCCAAACATTATTTCAAATGCATGACAAGAGTTGCAAATACAAACACATCTTAAATATAAAATAAGATGATAAAAATAATCATGAGAAAGCCTGCCTAAAAAGATGGATCTTAAGACAAGGTTTAAATGTGTAAAGACAATCACTGTTTCTTAAATACAAGGAAAGCGACATCCATATCTGAGGAGCCATAGAGCTAAAAGATCTGGTGGTGTGGCACTAAAGTGATAGAGTTTGATGATCTAAGAGTGCAAGAAGAGGTATAGATATGGAGAAGTTCAAGAGATATTGGGAAGCAAAATTGTGAAGTGCCTTAAAAGTGAAAAGTAAAATTTTTAAATCGATGTGATACTTGAAGCCAGTGAAGCTGATAAAGAAGTAGTGTGACATGTTTGTGAGATGAAGTCTTAGAAATGACACAAGCTGCACCAGTTTAGAAGGAAACCCAATGTGAAGAGCAATACAGTAGTCGATATGTGAAGTAACTTGTGCATGGATGAGAATTGCTGTATTATTAGTTGTGAGAGAAGGATGGAGATGAGTAATATTAAGCAGGTGGAAATATGAAGTACGGGTAACATTATTGATATGACCTTCAAAAGAAAGTGTGCATTAAAGCTCTTGACCTGCAAAGATGGACAAATTATATTATTATCATCAACATCTATGTTAAAATTATTGTATTTTTCTAAAAAGCTTTTGGTCCCAATGAGTAGGGCTTCCGTTTTCTTTTATAGGTATTTCATTTTAAAGAGGTTTAAATTTTGAATTTGTCAAGAAGGAAGAAAAGATTTGGAGGGTTTGGCGGACAGGTAGAGTTAAGTGTCATCAGTGTAGCAGTAAAATTGTTTATTGTATTTCCAAAAAATATGACCTAGCGGGAGTAAACATATAACAAAGAGGAGTGGACCCAGTAAAGAGTCTTGCAGAACACCAGTAGTGACAATCTGCAATCTCAACTTAAAGTCCTTAATTTAGACCAGGGGTCACCAACCTTTTTAACAACCTTTTTTTATATATATAACTTAATGTCATTTTCAATTTTACACCAATGCAAGTGTGATTTAAAAAGAATAGCTACAACAAATATTAAATGCGGCTTACTGGTATGTGGTGCTATGGTATGCTATTTTTAGAACAGGTCCGCGGGCAACTCATGTAATCTTCGCAGGCTACCTGGTGCCCGCGGGCACCATGTTGGTGACCCCTGATTTAGACAAACTGAGTACATTCTGCAGGATAAGACCTGAACCATAAAAAAGGATGCCAGTGATCTATACAATAGCAAGCCTATTCAAAAGTACCTCGTGCTAAACTGTGTCAAAGGCTGTGCCCTAGATCAGCATATATGCTGATCCAGGAACATGTAAAACGGTGCTGTTTGCAGCGGTTTGTTCTCAGAGAAAGCAGAAAGTTTTTTTCTGCTAACATTTTGAGTAAAGGATCACAAGAGTTAAGCAACACAGACATTCTTTTCACAGCCTTTCTTCTTGTATTTAGCAAGGCTACCAGCATTAGTGTAGGGCACAGTAGATGCCAGCAGAAGCTTGTGATCATATGCTCACCCCCACATGTATCTGTGCTCTGCAGACCAGCATCAACAGTCTGATGAGTGTGTACAGTGAGACGGGGGACTATGGCAGTGTTCGGGTTTCGGGGGAGATCCTGCTCAACATCTCTTACAGCTATAAAACAGGGGCTCTCAACGTGCTCGTCCGCGAGTGCCGCTGCCTAGCAACCGGAGATGAGAGGAGACAGCGCACGGATGCGTAAGGCCACACACACACACACACTGCTATACACTTCGCTTTGAGCCCTGGCAGAGCAGATCTGCACTTCGTGTATGTAGGGTGGCAATGCATTAACTTCATTTTAGTGTGTTGGTTTTCTCACTTAATTTAAACAGATTAGACAATTCTGACATTCATCATTTTTAGAGTCAGTTGTTGTTGTAATACATAAATAAAATGATCACTTAAATTACATATATCGCTGTAATATTTTTTACAAATTTCTAATATTTTATATTTTTAGTCTTCACTATAATTTTAGTTAGTATTAGAATTAAAATTAGCACAAAAATTTCTTTGCTGAGATGTTAATAATATTATTTTGCAATACAAATTTCAGTGTTTTCTTTTTGTGATGTATAACTTTCTAAAGGCTGGACATAGCTTTTATACTTGAAGCGTTCGCCATAGAGATATACTTTAAAACCACAGGGGGCAGCCAAAAGAAACCCACCGTAACATCAGATGGATAAACCGAGAAGTAGGAATTTTCCGTAACTACATCATATCAATAATATCATTTAAGATTTTTAAATTAATTATTTTTTATAATTTATTTTAACCATTGTTAGATTTTTATAACAATTCAAGAATTTTTCTTCTTGAGACAGTTCTAACTAATAAAGTTAAATATCACTGACAACAGAACATGGGTTGCTCTACAAGTATATTTTGTTATTATGGCAAGATATACTGACAATTAAAAATAAAAACGTAAAAATACTGACGTTTTCTTTTATAGATTTAGCCCACTCCACAATTCACACATTACTGTCTTTCTAGTTTCTGTCCTCTGTTTATATGCTAAAAAGGCAATAATGGTCCAACATTCCTGACCATTATCACCAATAAAGCCTAGAGAAATAGGGCTTTAGTATATTGTAAACCGATATGTTCAAATATTGTTGTTCAGTAATCAAACAAATAATATGTTTAAAGTGATACATATTAAACTCTTTTAATGTAACTGTTCGCTTGAGTCTCAAAAAATTTTGTGCGCTCTACCAGCCTAAATCATGTAGTACGCACCCGAAACAAAACTCTACAAACTCTACGATGACGTCACATTCACCATGCGAACTCAAATGAACTAGCGAACGTGTCGAGTATACACAAGGATAAACAGGTCTTTTTTAACTAATGAACAAAATTATACAAACCCAATTGTCATTTTGTCCTCTGATTTTCCAAAATTGTAGTACCTTTGAGGTTAAATGGCTGTATACGACCACTTTACAGCTAAATAAATAGTTTTTGTAATGAAAAGGAACCAAATAGCTTATAAAATAACAAATTATTGACAGTGAATCAGCTTTAGCTTTGGTTTTCATTTCATTAATTTAATCCAGTCTCCAGTATTTATTTGTTGTCTAATATATAGTTTAATTATGATATATTTGATGATATATTTTTTTCTTTTTCAAATATCTCCCAAACGATGATCAACAGAGTAATAAACTTACTTTACTTTATAAATCGCAATAAAACAACAGTTGCTGACCTTGGGTTAGAAATTATCAAAAATAAACAGCAGCATGTAGAACAGAAACAAAGACAGGCACAATAAGATCAATTTCCTCTCAATTTAAAAGCTTTTTCTAAGAGATGTAGTTTGAGTTTCCTTTGAACAAGGATTCATAAGAGATTGTTTTAATAAAAAAAATAGGTAGCCCATTTAACATTTTGGGACCTACTAAAGAAAAAGCTCGCTCTCCTTTTTTCTTTAGTTTGGATCTGGAGACTTTTAACATTTTCTGGTTCGACAACCTTAAACAACTTGTCAGAAATTTTAACAGTAATAAGGTTAGAAAGATAAGCCTGTGCCTGACCATTTAATGCCTTAAAACATATAGTAAAATTTTTAATTCTGTTCTAAAACATATTGGCAAACAGTTAGGGGATAAATTTGTCACAGTATTTCCTACAATATTTTTCTTCAGGTGAAAGTCTTATTATTTTTATTTCAGCTAGAATAAAAGCAGTATTAGATTTTTTAAAACCGTTTTACTGTCAATATTATTAGCCCTCTTAAGCAATATTTTTATTTTGGTTTATAGAACAAACCTTCATTATACAATGACTAGCTTTTTAATATCACTTTAAGCTGAATACTGGTATCTTGAAAATATCTAGTCAAATATTATGTTCTGTCATCATGGCAAAGATAAAATAAATCAGCTATTAGAAGTGAGTTATTAAAACTATTGTTTAGAGATGTGTTGAAAAAATCTCACGGTTAAGCAGAAATTGGGGAAAAATATACAGGCGGGCTGATAATTTAGGAGGGCTAAAAAATCTGACTTCAACTGTATATTGATGTAATATTGATGTTTTGGAGGCTGATATTGTACAGAAGCAAAAGTGTTGTTTTGTATCTTTGCAGCTATGTTAAAACCTATCTGCTGCCAGACAAGTCCCGTCAAAGCAAGCGCAAAACCAGCATCAAAAGCAACAGCACAAACCCAGTGTTCAATGAGAACCTGAGGGTAAGAGGAGCTCACCGTGTTTTGTGTTGGGTTTGATGAGCTATTGATTTAAAGGCTTTTATCTGAGTCTGTGTCTTTGTGCAGTACGTGGTCAGTCACTCTCAGCTGGAGACGCGGACGCTGCAGGTCTCAGTCTGGCATCATGATCGTTTTGGACACAACAACTTCCTGGGGGAAACAGAGCTCACCTTTGACTCCTGGGAGTTTGACACGCAGATAGAAGAATGGTTTGCTCTGCAGCCTAGAGTGAGTATAGCTCACGCACACATATAGACAAATAAAGGGATAAAGCCAGAGAGGTGAAGAAGTGCATTGATGTGTTTAAAAGTGTGATGAAACCTGTTTGTGTTTGTGTCAGATTGAGTCTGATTATGTGGACTCAGTGATGCACTATAAAGGTGAACTGACGGTGGTTTTGAAGTACATTCCTGCAGAGAGAAACGTCTCTCTGCCTCTGGACCAAGTACAAGGTACCTTTTACATTTATATTTATGTTTAGTTATTTAGCAAACGCTTTGTCTAAAGTGACTTCAATTGAGGAAGCATTCAGTGACTCAACAAGAAGAGGCAATACACACAGTAGTGCTTAATACACAAGGGAATTGTTTGTGCTCAGAGAATTAAGGGTTAGAGTAAGGAGGGTGGAGTGTATTTTTTTAATGATTTTTTTTTTTTACAGAGAGAAGAGGTTTTTTTTTTTTTTCAGGTGTTTTTTCAAGCCCACTCATCTGTGTGAAGCACACTTCACAAATGCACAGTGTCTTTTAGAGATATGGAGTGATTGTAAGAAAGTGTCTGGTGCAAAACTTGTGCAAGTGTCAGTTAAAGTGTCAGAGATGAAAGTGTGTTTTCTACAACTGGTTTGTCATGCCTACTCACCTGTGTGAGACAAACTTAGAATTGCATAAGGTATTGAGGCATTCTTATGTTGTGGTGGGGTTGTACATGTCAACAGTGATATATGGTAATAGCCGCGTTTCCACTATCGCGCCTAAAGCGAGCGAGCCAGGGCGAGCCAAGGCCAGTCGCGTTTCCACTGTCACTTCTGGGGCCTAACCGGGCCAAATTGGGGCTTTCTTGGGGCCAGCGGACTGCCTTTTTCGGCTTGCCGAATACCTTGGGCCAAAGAGGGCCAGCTGGGGCTTCGGGGCAGAGTGAAAGGAGAGGCGAGTACAGTTTTCGATCGCACATGAGTACATGTGCCAAACAAATAAATAAATAAATAAGGGAAAGAAAACATCTAACCTTATGGGGTCTTTTTGCGTATGATCACGTCACGATTTGCGTATGTTTCTCTTTTAAACGTAAGAGTGTTGCATAAAATAAATAAAATAATAAAGTAGTTTTAATTTTTAGTGCCATTCTTTGCTGTTTCAATGACGCATAATAATCTTTACACCATATTAAAGACATAGCAGACAGTAAAGGTTTTCGAGAGTTTTTGTTAAGTTTAAAAGGTGTATTTGTGCACGTTTAAATGCCTGTATGTGTGTGTGAGACCGAGAAAAAGAGCGCTCCCTTCACAGCTGTGTTGATGCTGCGCGGCTTTTTTATTATTTATTTTGGAGATAATAATACACAACATGAATACAACCGAAAGACATAAAACTTAACAAATTACGTGCCCACATTCGTAGACTTTAAACAGTATAGTGTGATATCTTGATAAAATAGCCTAAACTATATTGAAATATAATTTAAAGAATTACAAATATCGGATATAATAAAATCGCATTAAATAAATAAACCAATATAAAATAAACAAAAGCTAGCTAGAACAATGTGGGTAGTCTATATACAATACACAAATCAAACCGTTTGTTTTAAAGCCATTTAACTTTCATTTTACAAAGGCTTATCTGAAAATTTTTTTTAGATATTTTCTAAAAACAATAAACACCGGAGAAGGTTTGAAATATTATTTATAATATTTCGCACTGGCCTGATAGTGGAAATGCGGCTAAGGTGTTTATAGAATCTAGTCTTCTGTCACGTTTCTGTTACTGCAGAAGACTTTGTCATATCTTAAATTTATACCTTAAAAACAGAAAAGTAGGATATTTATATGAGGGCTTTTAAATGAACATTTTACCACAACTGTGACTAGCCGAGGGTGGTGCAGTGGGTAGTGCTGTCGCTTCACAGCAAGAAGGTCGCTGGTTCGAGCCTCGGCTGGGTCAGTTGGCGTTTCTGTGTGGACTTTGCATGTTCTCCCCGTGTTTGCGTGGGTTTTCCTCCGGGTGCTCTGGTTTCCCCCAAAAGTCATGCGGTATAAGTGAATTGAGTGAGCTAAATTGACCATAGTGTATGTGTGTGAATGAGAGTGTATGGATGTTTCCCAGTGATGGGTTGCAGCTGGAAGGGCATCCGCTGTGTAAATCATATACTGGATAAGTTGGTGGTTCATTCCGCTGTGGCAACCCCTGACCCCTTTGCTGTTTTTATTATATGCATTGGGTTACACTGTGGAACAGCAGTGTTTGAGAAACAGGTTTGATTGGCTGCCTCTAAGCCCAGTAAAGTTTGGAAATCCTTTGATAAGTGAAGTTTCACAAAATAATTGAAGAGAAGCACGCCATCACTATCACTAACTAATATAAAACACATGAAACAAAATTGAAGTCACAAGCACCTACTACATACAAACTAGCGCAGTTATCCTTGGGAAGTTATCGAGAACTACCTGATCTCATATCCTTCCTATTGCTTATTGACCAGGTGGGAGCCTTGGGCTCATCTATCTCTGAGCTCAGGGTTCTCACCCAGGACAGCATGCCAAACCTGCTAAAATAGTCAGGCATTATCTAAGTGTGAACTCTTGAAATTATAAACGTGTGTCTAATTTTATTTTTATATAAAATAACTATAATTGAAAAATAATAAATTGGGTATTATTACTTTGTTTTTGTTACAATAGCTGGGTTTCCATCAGGCTGTTAATGTTGTGCATTTTGAAATATAGCGTGAGAAATTAGTTATTGACATGCAACATTTCTTATAAGAATTCCTGAATTGAGAGGTGGTTTTGGACTTGTGGGAAAATATTAATGTAAATAAAGTTAATATATTATTTATGAGCAGTATCGCACGAGTAGCAGTGCGATATGGCTATAAATCAGCACTGGTGGGAGGCGTGCCTTGGCACGAGGCTGTAATTCATTTTTTTGGCAAACCTTTGCAAACTTTGGCTCCATGTTTGGATGGAAACCATAAAAAACCACAGGGAAACTTTAAGCTATTCTTTTTAGAAGCTTGGGAAAAACATTAACGCATGATGCATTTTAAAATGTACATTATATGCAACGCAAACTGATCTGAGGCATTGAAAACACCGTTATCTGGAGTGGCTTACATGAATGTCTTGAAATCTGATAATCATTTTAAACTCAATGATTGTTACAATAAACCATTCTCAAGCAATTTTTACACACATTTATTGCTTAGTGAGTTTTAGTTTTAGGCCCTGTTAGGACAATGTAAAAATGTAATAAATTTGGATTTTGGTTTAAATCGAGTATCTAACATATCTAATGTTTTTTCTAATATGTTTCTAGTGGCTTTTTAAAATTGTAGGGAGACCATAATTGAGAATCAGCAATTCGAGCATTTACTAGTCTGTTTAATCAAGCGCTTCCCTCTTCCTCAGTGAAAAAGGGATTTCTTAAAGGAAAGAAGAAGACCATCACTCTTCCTAAAGGAGGAATGGTGGAGCTGCTGGTCAAAGAGGCAAAAAACCTGACAGCCGTCAAAGGAGGCTCTTCTGACCCATTCGTCAAAGGGTGAGCTCATAAACACAGCAGTCAAACGTATGGGATCAGTAAGGATTTTTGAATGTTTTTAAAAGAATCATATTTTGCTCACCAAAGCATTTCTTTGGTCAACAATACAGTCAAACATGTCCAATTTGTGAAAGTTTTTTACAGCTTAAATGAACGGTTTAATCGAATGTAGTAGAAAGTGTCATTTTTTCCTGTGATTTTCAGAAATCATTATAAATTGCTCATTATAGTGAATGCATCATAGACTCACATGCATCTTATTTTTGTCTTTCTTGCTGTATTATCAGATATCTGCTTCCGGATGACAAGAAGAGCACAAAGCACAAGACGGCGGTGGTGAAGCGCAGTGTAAACCCACGCTGGAATCACACGTTCACCTACTGCGGCCTGCAGCACAGTGATCTGGACAGTGTGTGTCTGGAGCTAACCGTATGGGACAGAGAGCCCTTCGCCAGCAATGTCTTCCTCGGTGGAGTAAGGCTCGGCGCCGGGACAGGTCAGATTTTTTAACGCTCATACTGTTTTGTTTTGTTTTGTTTTGTTATTTTATTTATTTTATTTTTTTTATTGGTCTTTTGTTTTGTTTTGGTGTTTTGTTTGCTTTTTGTTTTTTTGGTTGTTTTTTGTTTTGTTTTTAAATAACAAAGTCAAAATTTTCTGTATTTAAAGTGTGTGAAATCAATACTGAAATGCAGTTTTGTACTTTATATGGAAGTTGCTATTTCAGTATTATGCTTATGCTGTTATAGTAGATAATATGCTAAAAATGTCAGTTAACAAATCATAATATTATCACGTTTTAGTATTTTACATTTCTTTTAGTTGATGATAACTATCAATATTTGTTTGTTAGGGATTGTAATCTTTTAAATGATAAATAACAATCTATTACCTTCCATATACTAAAGACAAGCAAATATATTTTTTGAATATGTGAATAATAAGAAACAACACTAATTTCGATGCAGTATTACCCACACATTTATTATTAAATTATTAATTAAATTATTAATTTAAAAGTTAATTAATTAATTTAATCATGCAAAAACACGAAAAAAGTATTTATCAGCTCCAAAAGCCAAACACCAAAATATTTTGACAAATTTCATGTTAAATTATTTTTAAAACTTTAGTTTAGTTTAGTTTATAAATTTAGTACAGTTTGAATATGCTTTTTTGTGCTTATTTTTTATTTATTTTGCAAACATATTTCAGATTTTAAATTTGTATGTTTTTGATTTAATATTTCATTTTTATTTCACCTATGTTACAGTTCCTCAATTATAAAAACTTAAATATTAATTAATATAACAACACTTAAAAGTAAGTCATACGAAAATGTTTAAATACTTTAATTAAAAATAATAACAAAAAAACTTTTGAGGAGAAAGAGGGAACTTTATTTACTAAAGTCTACCAAAGTCCATTTCATCCACTTCTTTGCCATAATTTGACTTCCCCTCTGGATATATATTTCCCACATTAATATGCCAGAATTGTCCAGCTTTGATTTGCTGTGAAATGTTCTGTGACTCACATGAATAGAATCATTTGGTCCCAAATGTGTTTGAATCAAATTTCCCCTCTAATGATCTTACTAAACGTCTGCTTAATCTGTCATCAATGATGCATGAAGCATTACTGCGTGCAACACATTCTGTATTCATGCTAAACTAATTTCAAGATGTTTTATTCATATCTTCACTCGCTCATGATCAAGTGGTTTGTTCCTCATGGATGACGATGTTTTAAAATGTTTATAATTAGCAATGGTTTCCATTTCCATTTACCTTCTATCTGTTTCTTTTTGTACTGTACCATTAAGATTTCTTAATATAGTTGACCTCTATTAGGACTTTTAACCTCTTCTTGCGTGAAAAAAAAACTTCTACTAAACTGCAAGACATTTTAAAAGTGGACAGTGATATGTGCGTTTAGTGATAATTCAGACATAACAGTACTATTGCAAGCTGTATTATTTGCCTTCATATATGATCTGAGGAGAATAAGGAGAATTATTTTAAAACAGGGAAACTTGGCTATTTATATAGAAATTTACTGCATGTGTGTATACAATTCTTCTTCTTTCCTTTAAGAATATATATATAGCCAGTTGAAATTTTGGCTGCATTTAATTGTTCAAAAATATTATAAATTTGTCATATTGAATTTTAATTACCATTTTATGTAATTTATTTATATTTTTATTGTTGTTTTTTTCCTCTGATTCTTGTTATTACCAGTGTTGAATTTCTTTCTTTCAAATTTTTGTAGAAATATATAAAATGTATTAATCATTTTCAGGATGCGATCAATGGAAAATTAAAAATAATACAATTTCTTTGAAGTACAAGCAATGTATGGAGTATTAATGTTTTTACTGCTACTATGGAAGAATGTTATATGTTCTTTATGGATAAGTAACTATTTAAAAGAAGATGAAAGCTTACATTGTGAAGAAGCACAACTGTTATATTATACAGGGTGACTCAAAAAGAATACCACAGCTTTGAAAACTGACAACTCTGCAAAGAAGAAAAGGAGAGTTAAGCTCTTTCTGTCCAATGGAATATTGACAGTTGCAAATTCAGCTTTAAATCACAGCAATAAAAAAGGCATTTTATTTCATTCTAAATTTATGTAATATTTCACAACAAAACTGTTTTTATTGTATTTATCAAATACTTTCACACTGATAATAATCAAAAATGTTGACCCCCAAATCAACATATGTGCAAATGATTTCTGGAGAATCATGTGATGCTGACAACGGGATTGATGATAATGAAAATCCAGCTTTGCTATCACATAAATTAATCACATTTTAAAATGTATTATAAAAGAAAACTTTTATTTTAAATTATTAGTTCACATTTTTACTGTTTTGATCAAGTAATAGGAGACTTGGTGAGTTTAACACACACAAACACAAACATACCAGCCAATAAATCATTCACTCTTGTACTAAATGTGTTTTGAAAGCCATTACTTCCAAATAAAACCAACATTTCGTGCATATTTAGTTTTTTGAAGACAAAACGTTTCAATTGTAAAAATGTTTCATGGCCTTTTTGCTATCAATGACAAAAATTGTCTCTTTGCTATCAAAAATTGTGTCACCCAGGTAGCTAATATATGACAGAATTTCTTTCACCATCTGTTGAATTTCCTCCACCATGCGTGTCTGAGAGTGAAGCAGCTCTGCTTTGACCTGTTTGTGGCCTGCAGGTCTGAGTTATGGGAAGGAAGTGGACTGGAACGATGCCTACGGGGAGGAGCAGCGGCTCTGGCAGCGCATGATTGACAACCCTGAGGTTCCTCAAGAGTGCACACTGATGCTGAGATCCAGCATGGCCAGGAGGAAGACGGACTGACAGAAGAAAAGAGTATCCCCGGCAATACTCATCATTCAGCATCTCATCGCCTCTAGACACTTTTAAGTGCTCTTTACGTTCTTGAGCAGTACTCGGACAAACCAGATTCTCATTTCAACGGTACTCATGCACTTCAAATGATCAAAACACATCTGTGGAACATATTAAGGGCCTCTGAGGTCCTGTTTACACCTGGCATTGAGATCCATCTGTTGGTCAACAAAAGGAGTTTTTCTACACACAGGATTATCACATTTGTTAGTGGACTAGTAAGTGTGTATTAAGCATAAAAACAAGATTACATTTGTAATGCAAGCACAAACATAAAGTTTTAGGCAGCATTCATAATTATTTATTTGTATTAAAATACAAAATGATGATTCTGTCATCATTTATTTACCCTCTAAATGGGATAGTTTACCCCAAAATGAAAACTACCTCATCATTTACTTGACCTCATGTGCTTTCAGACCTAATTGAGTTTCTTTCTTTTGTTGGATGCCAAAGAAGATGTTTTGAAAAATGCTTGTTGAGGAAACCCACTGACCTCTGTTGTAAGAAATATATACTATGGAGGTCAATAAGTCCAATCAACCAGGATTATTTAAAAAAGCTTCTTTTGTGTTCAACAGGGGCCGGTTGCACCAGCAGTGCACAAGTTAAAACATAGCCCAGTTGTGACTTAATAGGGCACTAAGTTACAACTTACACATTACTAAATATTTTAGTGTTGCACCACCGAACTTAGGTTAAGCTTAACACTACGTTCTAACTAAATACTTACGGCGGCATCTTGCATGTATAACAGTACAAAAGAGATGACACAAGATTACTATTAGTTTACATAGAGCTCACAATCATAATGAACAATGCTCTCCCTCTATTCACAGCCTAATTTTTCTCCCAAATCTTGCATTTTTTTCGGTTTGTGAAAGAAGACTTTAATTTTCTATCAAGTACCATCATAAGATCCTCGAGCCTGGGACTCCCTCCTGTTTGCAAGGCGAGAAAGGAGTTTGAGCTTTTTACTTATTAGGAGCATGTCTATGTCTATAAAACGTCTATTTGGATTGGGCAGTTGACTTAAGTTGCATGTTTTTGGACGGTGGGAGGAAACCGGGGAACCCAGGGGAAACCCAGGTGAGCTTGGGGAGAACGTGTAAACTCTGCACAGAAACGTTGGCTGGCTTTGTAAGAACTAGAACCAGTGACGTTCCTGATGTGAGGCAACTGTGCCAACCACTGGGCCACCGTGCCACCCATCTGTGAAAGGTGGAGGAGAGGGGGGTGGAAGGGGGGATTCTTCAAAACGAAGATGGTTGTGATATATAACTTAGGGTATTTATTCTGGCTTAGGAATCGTCTAATTGGTAAATCATAAATTGTATAATGCGGGACCAGCTGCAAGTAATCATAAGCACGTGATCCTCTTAAAATTAGTTTAAAAAATAAACTTCACTTTCTGTTAATTGTATTTATCAATTAAAAAGAGTTTTTTTTCCTGCTCTCTTCTCTTTCATATGTAGGATATAAAAAAAATCGAGTTTAATGTTTTGATAACTTTGTGTATTCACGGCTTGCGATGAAGGTGTGTGTGTTGACTTTAATGACTGACTGTTACTTAATGCACGATAAAAATGTAATTTGTCATTTCATTTTCATAGGACAGCTATATATAGCTGAATACTTAAATGAAAAAACTTAAATGGCTTTTGCACAAGTGAAGGGTGAGTAAATAATAACAGAATTTTTATTTCTGGGTCAACCATCCCTTTAAACCTGAATGAATTCTAGCCCCTGCTAAACACAAAAGCAGATATTTTGATGAACCAAATGGTTTTTAGTCCCTGTAGACTTCAGTACAATTGTTATTTACTACAGAAGTCATCAAAAATGGCACCAGCAAACTGTGTACTTTCCACTTTATTGATTTTGAATAACTTGAGGCTGAGTAAATGATGCTGCCGCATGCAACTAGCAAACATTGACATTACAGTGAATGGTTTGCAGTGTAGCCAATACTTTACTCTACCAATGTGATTGGTAGGATAGACTAAAGATAAGTCCACATTACCAGATTTCTTGGGTTGAAAGGTTGATTGTGTGCTAGTGTAGAAACAAATAAAGCACAGCTCAGTACCAGAAGTCAAACCAGCAGTTCTGTTGTCAACATACCACATTTGCTGCTGCAAAATCTTCTTATGTGATTTTTTTGGATTTGGAGTCTAGTTTTGGAGATTTTTGTTGTGGATTCAGATTTTGGACAACTGAGGCCCAGATTCACGATGACTTTTCATCAATTCAATAACAACTGAACAACAGACTAAATACAGGTACAACTGTGTTACATCAGATGGCAGTCGTAATGTAAATGCCAGAGATTGAACGTACTGTGTATAGACATGCTGTTGAAAATTTGCCAAAACAGGATGTTTTTTCTGCACTGTACCCAAACGCATGGATTAGGATAGAAACTGTAGTTGCCATCCACATCCTTTATTATTTGCTTGCTTTCCTGATCACTTGAAGGTCATTTAACATTGGATTGTTGATTCAGTAACTCACTTGTGCGTCAGACCGAAAGTTCCTGTGAAAGTGATGTAGAGCGTGGCAAAATAATAAGGAAGGGTTTCACAAGTCTGAACACAAGAGGTCACAAGAGATGCATTTAAAAGTGTGTTAATAGGATAGATCACCCAAAAATGACAATTGTACTCACCCTTAACTGGTTCCAAACCTCCACTGACATCCATAGTAGGAAAAACATTATGGAAATCAATGGTTACCTGTTTCTAGCATTCTTCAGAATATCTTCTTCTGTGTTCAACAGAGGAAAGAAACTCAAACTGGTTTTTCACAAGCGAGTGGTGAGTAAATGATGTCAGAATTTTCAATTTTGGGTGAACTATGTCTTTAATACCAGGCAGAAACTGGGCCTGTGTCAAATCTCAAACCAGGTGTAAATGTTGATCGACACTTCATGTCTACCCAGATGTGATTAGACTTTAAATCAAAAACCTATTGTCATAACTTTTGACTTGCACATAAGAACTATTTAAAAAGAGCACAGTGAACATCACCAATCAGAGGTCATGTTTGTCCTGAAAGAACAAAGCACAAAGCACTTCCTCCCTGCACATACACAAGAAGAAAAACATAAATCCAGTTTGCACAAATATCACCGCTTGCACGTGAGAGTCATATTTTTATGAGCATATTTATATAGACATGCACAAAAGATTGATGATATTATGATAAACATTAAAACTGATGCTGACTTTAATTTCATACCTGATTAATTTGGAATTGGATTCCAAAGTGTTTAATGCATATTTTTAGTGTAAAATAAAATATCTGTGTGGCGTAAAAAGATATATCTGGGAACAATACGGTTCATGAACTTGATCAGAGGCAACCAGAGACTAGAGACGCCAACTAGATTCACAGTTTCCCAAAAATTCTAGTGTTGTTTTTTTTTTTTTTTTTGGTGAAATGATTGTCGTAAACCCAAATGTGGAGTAGATTAAGACACCATTAGACTGTTTGCTAATGACCAGTCAGTCAGCATGCAAAATATTACATTGACAATGTTGTCGTCTGATCAATTTCTCCATCTGCCACTGCTGGATCATATAGACAGCCTCAACCCAAAGGAGAAAGTATTGTAGCACTGAAAAAAGTACAAAAGTATAATATTTATTCAAACCAAAAATAAACTCAAAAGACCTAAGACTAAAATGATCTATAGAAATGTTACTGGTTCGAGCTGAGTTTATAGTAGAAAAGTGGATCGAAAAACACCGCAAATATAAAACATATGCACTAGGGGTGTAATAATACACATTTGTACTGAATTCTTTCAGCTGTTTGTCTTTTTATTTTATTTGTATGTTTTAGAAGGGGCAACGTGGTGGTGCAGTAGGTAGCACTGTCGCCTCACAGCAAAAAGGTCGCTGGTTTGAGCCCCAGCCGGGTCAGTTGGCATTTCTGTGTGGAATTTGCTTGTTCTCCCTATGTTTGCGTGGGTTTCCTCCAGGTGTTCCAGTTTCTCCCACAGTTCAAAGACATGTGCTATAGGTGGATTGGGTAAGCTAAATTGTCTGGAGTGTATGGGTGATTCCCAGTGATGGGTTGCAGCTGGAAGGGCATCCGCTGCATAAAACATATGCTGGAGTTGGCGGTTCATTCCTCTGTGGCAGCCCCTGATTAATAAAAGGGGCTAAGCCAAAAAGTCAATGAATGAATGAATGTGTACAGAAAGAATGCCGTGTTTTATACACTACACATGCAGAGCTCTGCATACTGTAGAACGTAATTTCAAAAACCAAGATCCCCTATTAGAACATGGGACAATAGCATTTACTGATTTACTTTGTGTAATTTGTTAGATTACATGGTATTCTTTGACAGCTTTTACTAGCTGGCCTCAGTTTGATTAACAATATCAGAGTAGTACTAAAGTAGTCTTTGTCGCCCTTGTTAGTGGCGCTCACCAGAGTGATTAAATTTTTGGTTAAACCCCAAAGCAACCTAGTTTTGGGTAATGGGTGACCACTAGTAGGAGCTGTGCATTGAAAAATCTCACTTCACTGACCTCAAGAGCTCCATTAGTGTCTGACGCTAAAGGCTATGACCTTTAGTGTTTTGTCAGTGTGCCCATGTTTCTTTTGCTGGAAATGTCAGTTCGAATCCTACTCTTTATGGGGCCAAATTGGTGCCGTGACCCAGTTTAGGGGAGTCAGTGTAATGGAGGTCGGCTACAGTAGTAAGAGCTAAATTAATTCAAGTCATAAGTCTACACTGATATATTTGTAATTTCAACATAAAATATTTAGCTTACCTATTTTGCATTATGAATTATTAGCACTCGGTTATCTACTCCAATTAGCAAAAAGCCCTGTACAGAAACATTGACTTGTTTAAGGTCTGCATGAAATGGAAGCTGTGACTTTTCTCCCCATATTGTGATGTAGTTTCAATAGAAAGGGAATATTGAATGAGAAAATAGTGGACGTGGCTTGTTTTTTTTGTACTGCAAGCTGATTGGATGTAGTAAAGTAGGCATTTAATTCAGAAAGATCAGAAAAAGAGTTTCGGGAGAGTTATTGAAACCTAACAGACACCTCCTCCTCACCATTTCTGTTTGTTGTCATAGCGCTGTAAAAAACTAGATGTGCGTGGTTATGTTAGCCAAGCCCAATACCCCAGACAGATGTAATCTGAGAATGATTGTAAACGAGTGAAAACAATGATGAATGAGTGAAAACAAACAGGAAGTGCATTTCCAGATTTTAATTTTAGATTACAGGGCCAAACCTTTTTCTTTTCTTAATGACATGCACAGTTGAATTGTTCACCACAAAACTACCAATGTGAACTAACAAAATCAATATTGTTAGTTTTGATTTCATGTGAACTTTAAAGATTGTTTGTTTCAGAAGGCCACTGTTGAATAAAGGATAACAGTGAAACCATCAACAAACTTACTGAGCCATGCCTTCAAAACGGTCATTTGTGTATGTTACACCCCTAATTTGCATACATATTGCATAATGCCTACAGCCCCTACAGCAAGTTTGAGGCGAGAGTAAAAGTTAATTCCCGCAGTTGATCGTTTCGAGCCGTCATGTCACTGTGAAGTCTCCATAAATATTGTGCACACCCCCTTCCATTCTTAATATTCCTGTTAGCATCAGTCAAGTGAATAGAAATTATGACAACTTATAATAAACTGAGAGAGTCTGTGGCATGTATAAGGCTTTATCAATGTCGATGTTTGACATGTCTAATATTGTCTGAAGCTGTTTAACTTTCAGCATGTTTAGTGTGTGTGTGTGTGTGTGTGTGTGCTGTTTTCATCTCGCGACAGGACTACTATGTTTAGGACTGTTCTGTACTGTACTTTATCATTGCTACAAAAAGAATAAAGCATTAACAAACAAGATTAGTTTAATTTCCTTTTTTCCACCACATTTTCCCGAGCAAATTTTGGTATTTATCTTTCTCTTCATACTCTACACATTGTACTTACATTTATTACTATTTGACTAAATACTAAATGCTCTTGACTAAATACTCTTCTCACCAATGATGCATTTATTTGGTTATTAATCCAGTATCATATACAGAAATTCTTCTTCTTCTCTAGAATGGATCATTATTTTGTAGATCTAAACATGCTAGAAATCTCACAAAACTTTGCACACGCCCCAGAAGTGGAGTAGGTGTAGACATTCATATTGGACTGTGTGTCATGTAAAAGACATAATAAATAAAAACTCCAGGTTTGTACTAGTCACTTAGCAGCACTCAAGTCCTACCCACTTGGAGCTGGCTCTTACCTTCGTTTATACCTTTCAGCATCATTACTTCAGTCTTCGGTGTCACAAAAATGTTACAGAAATCATTATAATATCATATATTGAGGCCAAGAAGCATTTATTATTTATTGTTGGTGTTTGTTTTGCCTAATGTTTTTGTCCAAACTGAAATTTTTACAATATGGACGAATAATCATGTGATAAAAGAGACTTTTAAAACATCATTCCACATGAAATAAACAAACCTGAATTCAAAAACTGACTATATTTATCAAACTCACCACATCTACTTTGAGCCTTTTATTTATCAAACACGCATAATAAAAAAATCCTGCTCCACACCCTCAAATATCAATTATCAAACAGGCCTTTATTACATTAATATTGCTTTGGTAGTAGACCGTCCACTCTGACATAAATAGAGACACCAGACAAATAAAATAGAGCATCATTAAAAAAGACAAACAACAGAGACTCACTCATGCATTCGGATGTAAAAATGTGTGTGTGTGTGTGTGTTTTCAATGTGTGCCAGGATATAGCAGCTCTTTCCAGACTCTCTTGTAGTTCGCTTAGCTTTATAGCCAGTACAGAAGGATGCGTGTAGTGTAAATGTCTACACCTAGCAGCTCTGTCCAGCCTCTTTCTGTAGCACGGCCTCTTCGGTGCGGAGGGGAATCGTGTCGATGGTGGTGAAGATCTCAGCTGCTGTGATGGGGAAAGTGTAGCGTTGCTTATCCACACCCTGTTTGTCCAGGAGCACCATGCTGAATGAGTTCTGGGACAACTGCAGTAGCAACCTGACATAAACAAAAACAAACAGGCAATCACTTTATAGTTAATACAAGGATAAATAGTATAATAGTCCTCAAAAAATGGTTTTGTATGTGGCTAGGTTTATATGTCATGGCTGTAATTTTAGTAGTTGGGGAGAAGAAATGGCAGTAACCTCATGGTTAAGTGCGGTTATGGGATCAGATTGATTTGCAGCTTGAGGTACTTTGACAATCCTATTTCAATATATCCCAATATACAGATGAAGTCAGAATAGTTAATAATTCTTATTAAAATAAAAAATAAAATAAAAATATAATTTTATAGTAAATTAATTAATCAATTAAAAATAATAATAAAAAATAAATAATAATTATAAATATATAAAAATTAAAAGTATTCTAATCAAGCACCAATTAACATTCCACAGTTTCGGACTTCCTAAGCTTCTTCAATATCTCAGTTTTTTACAAAGTTCAAAAACACCTCCCAGATATCACAAAATTCAGAGGACTTTTTCCTTATTATATATGTGAGCTTTTCAAGAGCCAAGCATGTTATAAGGTTTCTCAACCAAAGTCCAATGGAGGGGCGATTAACATTTTTCCAACATAAAGCAATACAGCGCCTTGCTTGTATTAAACATAAGTCAATCAATTTTCTTTCTTTAGTAGACAAAGCACAACTTCATACATATTCAGTATACATAATCCAGGGCATAAAGGAATTGGAATGGGAAAAAAAATTGTGAAATATATTGAGTCACCTCCACCCAAAATTTTTATACCTCCTCACACTCCCACACACAAAGAAAAATTGTACCTTATATCTTCATGCATTTAAAACACAGATCAGGGATATTAGGATTAGAATTTATTTAATCTTACAGGAGTTAATTTAAGTTCTCATTAACCAGTTATGTTGTAGCAATCTCAAACGGGAGGAAAATGTATTTTTTTGTGCATTCAAACAAATTATATTCCAGTCCTTTACTGGGATATCTATTTTTGTATCTTGGATCCATGCTAGTCTTTGATTTTCTGAGTTTTCTTTCTGATTTTCTCTTAATATGTTATATAATTGTGTAATTCTGGCTTTTATGGAACAGTCTTGTTCTGCAAGAGTTTCCTGAATTTTCTTTTTTAAATATTTTCCAAATTATGTTTAACAGAGCAAGGAAACTTTCACAGTTTCTCTAATAATATTTTGTCTTCTGAAGAAAGTCTTTGTTTTATTTAGGCAGCATTTTAAGGTCAAAATTATTAGCCCTTTTAAGCTTTTCCGATAGTCTACAGAACAAACTAATATCACACTCAAAGCAGCTTGATATGACTGCATATCATCACATGGGACACAAAGGCACTTGGCCTCGAGCCAACGCACGCTGCCCCATATATATATATAGTAAGTGATGTATATCAGAGCAGAGACATTTTCACAGTATTTTCTGTAATACTTTTTCTATTGCAGAAAGTCCTTTTTCTTTTAGTTTGGCTGTAATAAAAGCAGTTTTTAAATTAGAAAAACATTTTTAAGTTTAATATTATAAGCCTCTTTAGGAGTTTTTGTCTCAACGGCTGAAGAACTGTTGCATGATGACTTGCCTAATTACTGTAAGTTGCCTCATCATAAATATCATATAACAAATCCTATTAACAGAGGTTTTACAACTTTGATTGTTAATTTATAAATATAAAACAGAATAAAGCATAATATTTTCAAATACATTGAATAATTGTTAAATAAATGAAAACATTTAAGTGAATGTGAATTCTCCATAAAATAATATAAAAATATTTTAAAATTAGGGATGGCTGATATATTTAGATATGGATATTTTAGTTATGAAAGGAATCAGGCTTTTTAAAAAACACACTGCATGGATGAAAAAAATAAAACTGCTAAACATACAGGGCCGGTATATATGTACAAATACATTTGTTTGACTATATTTTACATTGATAATGGCGGGCTGTGATGTCAAGCAATTATAAACGATTATGTGAGTTCAAGAGGCTCAAGTGCGGTCAAAGATTCTGGCATTAAAATCTTTAATCATGTCATTCATACAGACACAACTAAACAGAATCGGGCGGCTCAGTAAATGTAGTGTGATAAAACTGATCACAGTTTTGAACTCACTGTATGTTCCGCACATTTTGCATTTGACACATACTAGAAAGTCCTGTGTTGAAACTGTGAATATGTACACCCTTAATGAATACTGTGTATGTTAACTACTGAAAGCTGTTGAAAAGATCTATATACAACACGGTTTTTAGGATGTTTGTGTAGAGCAATTGCTGTGATCAAGTGTGTGAAATGGAGTTGATGAAGCACCTGAGTTGTAGAGCGAGTCCTGGGGCGATGAGTCTGTGTCTGATGCGGCCGATCTGAGCAGGATAAACTCCAACCAGCTCAATCACTGTCACGTGCCTCAGGTCCAGACCACACTGCGCATGCTGAACAACACACAACACTACAGCTCACACACCAGATTTTAAAGGGTTAGGCTGATTTTTTTCATAGTATTCCCATAATATTTTTTTCTTCTAGAGATAGTCTTATTTGTTTTATTTCTGCTTGGATTTTTACCATTTTATGGTCAATATTATTAGCCCTCTTTAAGCTATATATATTTTTTAATTGTCTAGATAAAAACATCATAATACAATAACTTGCCTAACTTCCCTAATTAACCTAATTAAGCCTTTAAATCATACTGTCATTATTAGAAATGAGTTATTAAACTATTATGTTTAGAAATGTGTTGAAAAAATCTCATGTTAAACAGAAATTGAGGAATAAATATAATAATTCTGACTTCAACTGTATAGTTAAATCTTGCCATAAATTTTAATTCAAATAAAATCTAATTTGACAGTAAATATTAACCATGCATGATATATTATATGATATATATTAACTATTAAATGATTTAAAAAATATTAGTGTGTTAATGATTTAACAGCCCTTATATATAGGTATTTACAGGGGTGGATTTAAGCAATAATCGAGGTAAGTGGCCGCTTAGGGCCCCAGGAAATCTGAAGGCCCCCAATTAATATCTAGTAGTATAAATTTTAAACAATATATAATATATTGTATGGTGAGAGTCAAACAAATACAATTTTAGCATAATTAATTATTATCTAATAATTAATTATAATATAGTATTATTGTAATAATTTAATGTTATGTAATCATAATATCATTAAAAAATATTATAATTATTACATCTGTGCAAATGTGTCCACCACCTCCAATCATAGAGCAGTCCAGCATTCAAATTTATAAAAATAAAAATATAATATATAATATTTAATCACATTAATTACAGTGAGTTGCATTGATTCATTTTGCAGCTCTAGTGGATTGTAGTTTACTTCACTGAACTGTAAATGAAAATTTAAAAAAAGTAGAAAGGGGGCATTTTAGGACTGTTGGGCCCCATGGCTGGAATTCCTTAGAACCTACTAGAAATCACTAAATCTGCCCCTGGGTGTATATATACAGCTAAAGTCGGAATCATTCGCCCCCTTACATTTTTTTTTTCTCTTTTAAATATTATCCAAATGATGTTGGACAGAGCAAGGAAATTTTCACAGCATGTCTGATAATGTTTTTTTTTCTTTTGAAGAAAGTCTTATTTGTTTTATTTTGGCCAGAATAAAAGCAGTTTTAATTTTTTAAAAAACCTTTTAAGGTCAAAATTATTAGCCCCTTCAAGCTTTATATATTTTTTTTCGATAGTCTACAGAACAAACCATCGTTCTAAAATAACTTGCCTAAATAGCCTAACCTGGTTAGTTAACCTAATGAACCTAGTTAAGACTTTAAACGTCACTTTAATCTGTATAGAAGTGTCCTGAAAAATATCTAGTCAAATAATATTTACTGTCATCATGGCAAAGATAAAATAAATCCGTTATTAGAAATGAGTTATTAAAACTATTATGTTTAGAAATGTGTTGAAAAAAATCTTTTCTCCGTTATACAGAAATTGGGGGGAGGGGGGGTCGGGGGAAATAAACTGGGGGAGCTAATAATTCTAACTTTAACTGTATATATTTTTTATATAAATTGAAATGCTTTTGAAAGCAGTCTAGTCTGTTCACCAAGACTGCATTCACTGTTTTACTCTTTTTTTTCTTCTTTTTTTTCTTTCTTTTTTTTTTTTAAAGAGCAGAAAATGATTTTTACAATCCCAAACTTCTGAACAGTAGTGTAAATTACACTTAGGCCTTAACATACCTCTTTAACTACCAGATTCCTTAAATTATTTATCTGGTTGGGATGTTTGCTAACAATACACTGTCATCACTGCTTGATATTTGAAACTCCTTTTTATCCTCAAGCAAAGAATGAAAGAGAACTTTGCTCATGCTATATCAGTGTGTCTTTATTGTGAGGGTCATTGTAGAAGAAAGAAGCAGATATTGAGCATTTTTCTTAGCCAAAAACATAGATGGTGTAGTGCAAGTGAGTTCTTCTCAATAAGAGTTCAATCATTTTTTGCTTTGATGAGAAATTTGATCTATAAGTTTATCTGTTGATTGGAGAATTTTCAGAACAGCATTTTATGTTGTTGATAAGCCCTAAGCATACTGAGGTGCGTTATCAGTCACCTTTGATGATGTTTTGGCATAACTGTCTTTTTATATAGATATATATTGTGGCTTGTGTTGGTTTGCCTGTCTTTTGTAATATTGGACCTAGTCTGGATGAAAGAGAACGTGTTGCTCCTGTACCTGTAAATTAGTCATCTGGAACCTGTAGTAGTGATTGGCAGCCGAGGGGGCAGAGATTATCAAGAGACGGCGTTTCTCATAGAACTGGTCCAGTAATGCAGCTGCTGACCGCACTCCAACATTAATATTCATGGCTTTTAATAAAACAAAACATTAAGATGTTATTCGCCAGAGGGCAGGAGAGAAGATCATGAATTTTGCATGAATATGAGGCTTTATCTCGTATGAATAAGTGGATACTTCTGTTCTAAAAAGTTCTGTCATCATTTGTTCTTACATCCAATATTAAAGGGATTGTTCACCCAAAAATAAAAGTTCTGTAATCATTTACTCACTCTCAAGTGCTTCCTTTGTAAGTTTTTTTTTTCCTTATTGAACATTAAAGAATATGTTTTGAAGAATGTTGGAAACTGGTAGCTATTGATTTCTACAGTGGGGAGAAAATACTATGGAAGTCAATGGCTACCAGTTTCCAACATTTTGTGTTTGGAGCAAGCAAAGCTAGTTTAAAGAATGACACACTTTTCTCTTTTGGGTGAACTATCCCTTTAAATATTCTTCCAGAATAAGCATCATTCAGATTTAGAAATGCTATGCAATGTTACATATGAGGATGTATACTATACAGTGCAGGGCAAAGCTCTTGTTAGTTTATCTGTAGCTGTTTGTAAGGTGTTTTTCATACGAGTGCATGAAGTCTCCAGGCCGGACCACTCCATGTTAAACTGGCAGACTCTGGCAGCGCTGCCCTTCAGATCGTATCCTCCCAGACAGCGGAATTCACACGTGGCCCCGTAATTATCACCCGCACTGTCACACTTCATCCAGCCATTGTCAGGGACAGAGAGAGGGGTACAGCGACGCACTGCGACAAATACAAAACACACACTTATGACCTTACTCACCTTCATATTAAAAAGTGTGGATACTAAACAAACTACATTTTCAGTGATGTGATGTGGCATTAATGTAGCTGGTCTTCAATAGGGTTTTTTTTTTCCGAATGTGGTGTTCAGTTTACATGATACAATGCAATCTTTCTTAAATGACAAAATGGGTGTCAGAATGTAAGAATTAATTGTTTTGACATTTAAAGTGTGTTATACTGAACAACAGTAACACTTCTGGGAAACTGACAACATCTTTCCTCAGTCCTCCACTGACCAATAGGAGAACAGAGATTCACAATGACATCATGTTTGCTGTTACAGTTATAAAGTCATGTTTTTTTCAGGAAGCATTTTACAGCGTGATAGTGTTTCTTTTCCCTGACATGACAAAAATCTCATTATTCAACCGTGAATACTGTAAAAAATAATACTGTACAAAATAACGACTAGTTCAACCCAGAATAGCATGTTCATTTTTACAACTGGGAGCTGATTTTAGGTCAAATATTTTTTGTAAAAGTAATTAGTGAAGAAATTATTAAAGTAATACCCCACAGATATGGTATAAAGACATTTCAATAAAACAAATTATTTCGGTTATTACATAAATGCACCTCTTAATGTTTAAGGGCTCTATCTAGGCGCAAAGTCTAAAGCCTGGTTTATACTTTTGCATTGAGTGATTGGCATGACCCAAGGCACATGCAATGTGCAAAGTAGTGCATTTATACTTCTGCATGCTGTTGTGTTCCTTGGCAATAACACTTCCGAAATGCTAGCTGGCAGTCAGTGTTGCCAGATTAGACAGTTTCCCATCCAATTGGGCGGTTTTGAATTTGAATGTGCTGGAAAATTAGGGCGGTTCTGCAACGGCAAATGTTTTTTTCTGAACACTACTTTAATGTACAAGTGGGTCAAATTCGCTCATTTTGAGGTGGAAATCAGCGAACATGCAACAACTTTAATCATAAGGTTAACACAAAACAACAGTTTCCATCTAGATCTCCTTCACGGAACTCCACACTTTTGAACACTCATTCCATTTGCTCACGCAGCTCTTACCTCCGCCCACTCGTCAGTGCTACGAAGCCGACCAATCACAGAGCTTGCTCTATGTGTCGTTGCAACGTGTAGTTACATTTTTCGAGAGGTGTGGTTCGCCGACAGCCATGGCAAGCGCTATGCGACCACGCGAAGGCTGCGCCAGAGCATACGCGTGCGCTTGATGCAGAAGTATAAATCAGCCTTAAAGCGCATGGCGCAAAAGCATTAAGGGCGTGTACGAATCCACTTTTGCTATTATGGACCACAACACATGGTCTGCACATGCACATGGTCTGCTGAACCCAAGCTGAACACTTCACTAGCGAAAAAACTGTTAAACAGACTATCTGCAGCACAAGAATAAAGAACGAGCCTTCTCCATTTAGCCTCTTTACTTTCTTTTTCTCTCTTTTGTGGATAAGGAAACGGTGATCCATTAGCTTACATATTTAATTTCATTTGTTAAGCACAAAGATTTGTTTACAAACTATTTCTAAATTCAGTTCTAGTTTCCAGAAAAAGAATAAATGAACAATAATAACAAAGTGTGGTCAAAAAACTGACTTGTATCCAAACACATGTCCTATCTCCCATATGGTCCAAACAGTGACAGGTGGACAAACCTAAGCTTGTTTTTAAAAATATATATATAAATACGCATATAATAATAATAATAATAATAATAACATTAAACAATAAACTAAAAAAATTCCTCCATAGAAAAAGAAAGCATAAAGGCAGTGGTTTTTAAATTTATGTAAAGAATAATCATTTTGGTAATATTTTAATCCTTTAGTTTTTTTTTCATTTGTAAAGATATTTCTGTATCGCTGTACATCTTGTGTGTATTAAGCAATGTGTAAGTGTTTATAGCGCATAACTAACGTGCTCTGTGGTGGGTTTTAGAATTGCTTTTAGCTGGTCTATTGCTCAGTCTATTTTAGTTCCTCAAAGTAGCAACTCGCCAAAAATGCACCTTAACACACCTCGTTTTTTATACCAGCACACCCCACAAAGTGGCACAAATGGATTCACTATTTAAACATGCAAAAAAAGTGAAAATTAGGGTTGCGTTGATCTAAAAATAGCAACACATCGCGCAAACACATCTTGCGCCCTATTGCGCCAGGTGTATGATAATGCCTGTAATATAGTCAAACAAAAAAACATTATTTTAAATATAAACTATTATTTACAACATAAATTTTTTATATAAAAAAGCAGACAGCCTTGATGACTGTACTTTTAATACTTTCTTTCAAAAACATAAAAAATATCAACCAACAAGTGCTCAATTATTGTCTTAATTTTATGGACATCTTCTCTTAAAAACCTTTGGACCTAAAATCTCTCTTATTAGCCAAGTTTTATTGAAGCAATGATCTCCTTTTAACCAGGAATAACTTGTTAAAAAGGACTTACCTCTTACTCTGACATTAAATCTGCAGGTCGCCTTGTTCTCGGCACGGTCAAACACAGTGTATGATAATTTATGATTCCCTTCTGGGAAGTATGAGCCTGGAGGCTTTCCTTTCAGAATAACACTACAACAAAAAGAAGACATGTCTTTCTCAAATCAAGAATGTGAACTGTGATTTAAATATGGCATTAGCTTGGCTAATCTTGGCATTAGCTGTAAAACAGTATACATTTGCATCAAGAAATCTGACCTACATTTACTGTTGTTAAGACAGCATGACAGTGTTACTATCATAAATGGTTAGCATAAAACACTGACTCTGTTAGGATGCCATCTGCTGCATCTTTGCCCTCAGGTGTGTCCCATGTGACTTTGGCGGTGAGTTTCCCTGGTTCAGCGGTCTTCTCCTTTACATTAGGACACTTGATAACTGGAGGATCCACATCTGAGACAGAAAACACCTTTGGATGGTTTACCACCATGTCATAGCACTGAAACTGTAGAAAATCTTTGTGACATGCTCCCTGAAGCCCTGCCCACCGTTTGTATAAACCTCTCTGATGCACGCATTGAAGGCCTACCACATGGTTCACAGCTGCACCTTATCATTCTAATCATCAGTCCCTTTAAATAGTGTGGCTTCAGTGAAACAGTATGCGCCAGTCTTTCACTGCTCTGGACTCCTCATGTAGGGTTGTGGCTGCGTGTAAATGTGAGTTATGTTTTCTTGTAGTGTTTATTTATGAAGTATTGTTTATTGATTTATTTGTTTGATTTTTATGTATTTATGATTTAGAAACCAGTCTTATACCATGTGGTGAGTATGCACTGGCAATGGCAGTTAAAACTCAAAGAAATGGATCTTGCTTCAAGTGTTTTGACTGACACTCCACTGTGATACTCCCCCTGCGAGTCAGCATTACCTTTCTAATTTCTTAAAGAAATAGTTCTCATCAAAGTAGCAAGTGATTTTCTTTTATCATCCTATAGTTTCATTTGTTTTTTAGTATTACTGGACTTAGTGTGTTGATTGTTTAGTGCATCGGCTTAGTCCATCTGATACTCTCAACCGCAGCGTTCTTTTGTATAGACTCAAAATGATGCTGGCATTAGTGGAACTGGACTGGTATGGTTCAACTCATACTTATCTGACCTCTATTAATTTGTAGCATTAAATGAGAATGTATCATGTTTTTTTAATCAAAAGCTGGCTCAGTTCTAGGACTATTGCTTTTCATCCTCTATTCTCTACATTTGGTGAGAAATAATTTAGAAAAATGTACACAGATGATACTCAGCACTATATTTATTTAAGCCCCAGACAAAACAATTCAAGTATATTTGTGAAGTGCTTTTCACAATATTTGAGTTTCAAAGCAACTTTACAAATGGTGCATATTATTGCATTACAATCAAATTCTGAATGATTAAGGTTATTAGTTACCATCATTTTATTAGTTAGTAATAACTTTAGGTAATTAACTAGTAACTAACAGCTTTGAACAGTTTAAGTTTTTATATATAACATAGAGAACCTGCAGTTATATAATATATAGGTGATGTCTGTGTGTACATGCTTAAAAAATCAAATGACTTGAAATTTACGAAAAAAAAAACATCCAAATGAACTAAAAATGTCTGGTCATAATAAAACTTATAGCATGTATTTTGTTAAATCATCAGTCAAAAAATTGGGCGTAACTACACTTTTCCATCTTTAGCTTTGGCTTACCATTGCACACGCTGTTGCCGCCGCTCCATGTTCTGCTGCTTTGGCAGGTAGCACTGTGGTCTCCTGTGAGTGTGTATCCTGGTGAGCAGAAAAACTGGCAGCGCGAGTTGAAGTAGGAGCCGTCTGTACACTTGAAACCTCCATTAGCAGGCATGTTCAGTTTAGGACAGCGGACCTCTGTAAACAAAATGTTCTGCACTGGTCAAAACTGGTTTCCAATAGATACAAACTAAATTTATTCACGTGTCACACAGATCCTGATAGACATGAGGCTGGATAAGAGTCCAAGTTGACTTGAGATGTTTAAAGGTGAGGATTTAAACTGGAGATTTGAGTATTATTGATAAATTATTGATAAACAATTCTCAGAAATCAACACATTTATTAAAACTGACAAAGCAGTCAAACTTTCAGTATGTGGTTTAACAGATCAGTGGCTGCAATATAGCAATTAAAATAATCAATCTAATAAAAACTCATTTAAATTCTGAATTTCACTAATTATTAATATAAATTATGATAAAAATAGACTATAGATAAAATAATCTGCAATATACCAAAATGTATTTGGCAAGGATAAATTAAATAATTAAAAGTGAAAGTTTAGACAATAACAAAAAAATCTGTTTCACATAAATGTACTTATTTTGACCTTTCTATTTGACAAAAGAATCCTGATCAATGTATTGTTTTACATTAAATTATTAAGAAGCACTTTTTCAACACTGAAAATATCATTGACTACTAGCTTATTAGAATGATTGAAACAACATGATAGTAAGTTTTTGAACTGGAATAAAATACACCTTAAAGTTGAAGTCAGAATTATTAGCCCCCTGAATTATAAGCCTCTGTTTGTTTTTCTTCCCCAATTTAAAAGAGAGAACACATTTCCCATAGTTCATAGTTTTCATAGTTCATAGTTTTAATAACTGATTTCTAATAACGGATTTATTTTATCTTTGACATGATGCAGTAAATAATATTTGACTAAATGTTTTTCATGACACTTCTATACAGCTTAAAATGACATTTAAAGGGTTAACTAGGTTAATTAGGTTAACTAGGCAGGTTAGAGTAATTAGGCAAGTCATTGTATTACAGTGGTTTGTTTTGTAGACTATCGAAAAAAAATATGTAGCTTAAAGGGGCTAATAATTTTGACCTTAAAATGGCTTTAAAAAATTAAAAACTGCTTTTATTCTAAAACAAATAAGACTTTCTCCAGAAGAAAAAATATTATCAGACATACTGTGAAAATGTCCCTACTTTGTTAAACATAATTTGGGAAATATTTAAAAAAAGAAAAAAAAGTTAAAAGGGGGGCTAATAATTCTAATTTCAACTGTACATAAAACAGAACACTATAATATAATAAAATTAATATAATAAAATGTATAATATTTTTATATAATAAAATTATATATATATATATATATATATATATATAATTTTATTATATATTTTACTCTGGCATATAATGTGAGATGCATACTAAATATTTATTATTCTTAATTTCAAATTAGACATTTAAGCATATGAAACATCTTCATTACACCTTTAAATGGCAGTATATGCCAAGACTATGAACAATTTGTGGTTATTAAATTATTAATAAATTATTATATTTTACTTTTCTAATTTTAAGTAATTATTATAAACAACTTAAAATAATACAAACTAGGTGAGCAAAAGATTTGCTTTGCAAAGCATTACAAGTCTCATGAACCTCACACTTTTAAAAGGTAGTGTCCTTAAACAAAAAAGTAAATATCTAATCATTAATAAATGACTGATTAATGCATTCAAATGATCACAATTAATTATAGAACTGTCTATGCACTCATCCTCTATTATTAAAGTCTGACCTCTGCAGGCGTAGTTTCCTGACCACTGTTTGCTGGCCATACAGACGATCTCACTACTGCCATGCAGCTCGTAGCCCGTCTTACAGCGGATCTTACACCGTGCTCCCAGAACATTCTTATAACGCTCTCCACGTGGCGTCTGGCAGCCGACGTGACCATGTTTGACTTTCACCGGGGCGCACCACGGCACACCTAGAAAAAGCCATACGGCATCACACAAAGGCACAAATAGACTACCAAAACACACCTAAAAACACTTACCTTACCAAACTGCCGTCATCCAAACAGACATGCATGAAGAAAACGAGAAAAGACAAAGTAGCCCAGCCACAGAAGTAGAAAGAAAAAGGCCTGAAGCCTATAAGGAGGCAGTCAGAGATGTAGTGTTTATGCGTTCTGACAGCAGTGCTCATGTGTTCAGATGTGTTCTACTGAGAGAAGATGGGTTTCTGTTCTGTGTAATGGCTTTTTTGGGATCAATGCTTGATATTTAATGCAGTATGTCCTTGCGTGTGTTTTCACCTGTGTATCGCACATCTTCATCATCAGTGTAAGGCCAGTAACCAGAGCCTGCAAAACAGTATAGGACAGCACAAGCAAGAAAGAGTTGGCATAAGCGCAGAATTTCAGATTCAGCTCTACTACAGTCATTTGTTTTCTGTGTGACTGTATTATTTAGATTAGTGTTTCTCAACCACCAGGTCTGCATGTTTCATGTCTCCCTAACCAAACACACCTGAATCAGATCATCAGCTCATTAGCAGAGACTGAAAGACCTGTAATGGGCGTGACAGACAAAGGAGACATTGAAAACATGTAGTGTTGGTGGGCCTTCAGGATGTGGTTGAGAAACACTGACTCAGAACAAAGCAAACCACAGGATTTTTTGTTGTTGTATCTTTTATCTTCAGCTTACTAGCCGTGGAAGCCTCTGAACAACAAAAGGTAATTATTGTGTACAATGGTCTAAAACAGGGGTCACCAATCTTGGTCCTGGAGGGCCGGTGTCCTTGCAGGGTTTAGCTCCAACTTGCCTCAACACACCTGCCTGGATGTTTCAAGTATACCAAGTAAGAGCTTCATTAGCTTGTTCAGGTGTGTTTGATTAGGGTTGGAGCAAAAATCTGCAGGACACCGGCCCTCCAGGAACAAGTTTGGTGACCACTGGTCTAAAATGTGGGGTCAGAAAGATTTTGTTGATTCTATAAAAGTGCGTGTGTGTGTATATGTGTGTGTGTGTGTGTGTGTGTGTGTGTGTGTATACACACACTTTTGATTCTGTAAGAAATTATAACAATAAAGGCATTATAATAAATGAAAGATTTCTATTTCAAATAAATTACTTTTTATTAAATAATCAAGCAAATAAAATATGTCATGGTTTCCATCAGTATAAATATACCTATATATAAATTATTAATTGTTTCTTAGTTGGGCACCAAATTATATTTGATCCTGGTAGACACTTATGATTTCTGTTTGGTTCCCATTTGGTTGTTTTTGGTAACCAAATAAGGAAATTCTTGGATTTTTATTTATTTATTTTTTGCAAGGGTAACTACAGAGAGAATGCTTCAAGAAAGTTCAAATAATCTAAAGGGAACATTCTATTTACATAAAGAAAATGTCCTGGCCAGCCAACAGAGAATGTTTTGGAAGCCAAAAATTGTTAGCTGGAATCAAATGACCCTTTCAAAATGAAAATCAAGCTGTTTTGGTTATTAAACCATGGCCACCACAAATGAACCATGTCTTTACTCCAGAAAGCATAGTTTAAGCTAATCATTTGTAGTGAAACTGTGGTTAAATTAATTATTATTTGACAAAAGAAAAGGTTTACTAAACTTTTACTATAATGGAACCATGTTGACTCAAGCAATGACTGCAGGTGGATAGATGAATAAATTACATTTTCAAATAAAAAAAGAACTGTTTTACAATACTACTGTTTTTTTCTTTTCTTTCAGTAATATTAAGCAAGGGTGACACGGTGGCTCAGTGGTTAGCACTGTCGGCTCACAGCAAGAAGATTTCCCCAACAAGTCCAAAGACATGCAGAATAAGTTAAAGTGGTCGTAGTGTTAGTGAATGAGTGTTTCCCAGTGATAGGTTGCAGCTGGAAGGGCATCCGCTGTGTAAAACATATGCTGGATAAGTTGGTGGTTCATTCTGCTGTGGCACTGATGAATAAAGGGACTAAGCTGAAGGAAAATGAATTAAGGAATATTGAGGATTGCTAACTTATGTTTATTTAATTTCTTACAGATCCCAAACGAATGGTAGTGTATATATGTAACCTGCCTACAATTACATCTTTATTTTTTACGGTGAGGTGAAAACAGGCTTACACAGCAAGCAGCTGACGGGTTTGTTGTATTTATTGACATGACCTAAAATGCAACAATGACCCCTGCCGGTAAAGAAATGAATTACAGTGAGTCATGAGGCGGGCAGTGAAAATGGCAGCCACATAAAATAAATAACATTTAAACGCTATATTAGGTTAACATGCTCTTCAGGAAATAGAACTAGATGGAATGGACTGGCATGGCTTTATTCAATGGTAGTTTCTTATTTTGTTGTTGCTTATTTTATTCTGAATGTCATGACAGACGCTCCTTTACAAGTCAACGTGTAATTTCATCTTCCATCATCAACCATGCCATAGGAAAAACATTACTGTTCTCCAACAGAAACAGGGTTTCAGTTCTCTATTCCATCTAATTTGGTGACTTATACTTACTGTACTTTAAAAGCAAGTCATCCATACTCCAAAGAAAATTAAAACAAGACCTGCTTCAAAAAGTCATGGAAAACTCCATCACTAACAAATCACACTCTGTGGGATCAAAAAAAAGGAAACCTGCATTCAGTGCATATAAATTGATGCTGATTTGCTATTTTATTTCCTTCTAGTTCTGTTTTTTTCCCTCTAGTGTGTGTGTAAAGTGTGTGGATGGCAGATCACACAGCAAGTTAGATCAAAGCTCCCTCTGATGCAAGAACAAGAACTCAAGCTCGAGCAGCACACACTCACATACAGAGAGAGAGAGAGAGAGAGAGAGAGAGAGAGAGAGAGAGAGAGAGAGAGAGAGAGAGAAAGAGAGAGAGAGCCAATGCAGAGCTAGAAGCAAATCATGACAGCACCACAGTTTCCAACTTCTATCATGGAAAACACTCCACAGGGATTGTGTGTGTGTGTGTGTGTGTGTGTGTGTGTGTGTGTGTTTGTGTGTGTGTGTGTGTGTGTGTGTGTGTGTGTGTGTGTGTGTGTGTGTGTGTGTGTGTGTGTGTGTGTGTGTGTGTGTATGTTTGCTCCATTTGGCAGATGAGTTTTCCTGTTACATTTTGTTAAGCTCAGCAGAACGTTGTGTAACTCAGAGTAGGCTACTCACTGACTTGGCTGAGTTGAGCTCTCTCTCTCTCTCTCTCTCTCTCTCTCTCTCTCTCTCTCTCTCACACACACACACACACGCATGGACAAATATATACTTTAAATGAAGGGAGTTTCCATTTACAGAAAACATTATGTCAACTAAACCCTGGTTTTTGAAGTAGCCTTCTTTCTGTTTTATCCCAGTTCCGGTTTTTACAGCAGATTTCACAAGTTCAGCAATGTTTAACTTAAAATCTGCTCACTCTTTAATGGACGTTCTGCAGTCATTAGTCATTAGTGAACAAGATCCCTCAGGCTCCCCATGTTCAGTCAGTGTCTGCTATAGTTTCAACCTCGCTGATTCATAGAGGTTAGTTTACCTTATTCTACAGTGTAGTCTACAGTGTAGTCGATGAAGTACAGACAATATTGTTTATATGTCCATCTATCACACAATTAGCAAAGAAACATCCAGAATACATTAGCATCAGCATGTTACCATTAAAAACTCTGTAATGTTCTAGAAACTTTTTGGATGACTTAAGTAGCCTGTGCAACCACTTCTGTAAATTTCCATTGGCAATGTCCTGATGACCCCCAAAGCATTTTAAAATGATAGTTCACTCGAAAATGAAGATTACCAAATCATTTACTCTACATTGTGTGGTTTTAATCCTTTATGATTTATTTATGTTGAACACAAAAGAAGTCACTTTGAAGAATGCCGGTTGCTTACTTCCACTGAAGGAAAAAACAAATATGGAAGTCAATGGTTACAGGTTTCAGCTTTCTTCCAAACATGTGTTGAACAGAAAAAAAAACAACTCAAATAAGTTTTAAACAAGTGAAGTGTGATTAAATGATGACAGAATTTTCATTTTTGTGTGAACTGTGCCTTTAAGTACTGTGAAAAAATCAAGAAAAAGACAGCAACAATAGTATATGGTTTTCAAACAGGGCACTATGATATCTTTTGTAAGCTGTTTAGACAGAACTGTGTGTAGGTACAGTATAGTGTCCTCAGTCATATTGGGGTGATATAAAGACAATAAGTCTCTTATTTTACATTTCCTGACATTAAAATACGATCCAAATCCCTCCCATTTTTAGGCCCACCGCAACGTGATGTAGTAAAATGCGGTTTCCTCACCACTGAATTGTTTGACAGCCGTGCATTTACTTGTCTACGTAGTAACTCGTATACAACAAGACAGGACGTGTGCAAAGCAACTGGGATTAAATGATCTGTTCAGCTCTCTGTGATCATCAGTCATCATCAAATGAGATCAAGAATAATAAGTTACTACTACTAATAAATTACTAATATTAATGAATTACAGCGATTTTTACAGTCTTTACAGCCGTGTGTCAGTACAATTATAAAAGAAGACGCTTTAATCTCGGTTTGTGGACATTAAATCAGGTTTATTTTGTACATTAACATACCAGATATACATACAGCATTGGATATTAACATGTATCTTGTCACATTTGCCGTGCAAAGACAGTGTAAAGTTAAATAAATAAATATTTTTATTTACATAATTTGAGTTCCAAAACTGCACAGATGTTAAAATATATAATAATGATATAATAATGAAATAATGACTGAAATGAGAAACCCTAAACTGTTCACAGTGTACAGTCTCGATCGCCATATTTGTGAAATTCAGTACATGGCGATAATGCTTCTAAGCAATTAATCGTCATTAAAAAAAAGAATAAGACTGATCCATCGTTAACGGTAAAGTCTAGATCAGATACGCGGCCAGCCGGAAGTGCAATATGCACATTAATATAGCAGCTTTTTTCATGA